GCAGAGAGACCCACTTGAGGAAGAACCACAGCCCTTTGCTGGCAGCCCTGGCTAACAGCCAGTGTCGATCTGCTAGCCACGTGAACGAGCCATTCTGAAAGGAGAGTGGTCCATACCCCCATGGAGCTGATGCCACATGAAGTAGAGAAGAGCTGTCCCCACCAACCCCTGTCCAAATTGCAGATTCATGAGCAAATGAATGAACCCTATTGCTTTAAGCCATGATATTTTGGGCTGGGTTTTTACATGGCAAGACAACTGATACAGTTCCCTATTTATGTAAACACTAAGCATGCTCTTGAGTGTTCGTGTTGAGTAAATCGCTTTCATTTAGAGCTGCCTCTCCTTTTCACAAGCAGTGTCCCAACAATTGTTCTACCCTAGATTCTGCAATGAGGTCTGGAACCACCGAGGAAGGTGAGAAGTGACAGGCGAGTAAACTATTGTTTTTGAGTCCCCCTTGTTCAGTGACTATGAAGAGGGAATGAGGATAGTTTCCTCTTCTCCTACACTTGAAGCTCCGCCCCCTTTCTCGCTTGTCCTCCAAAGGCCTCTGGGGATGTGCAGGTAGGTGCCTACATATGGTTATTTTCACAGACACACTGCTAAGACTATTGTTTTGTATTCCCAAAAAGTCAATGCCTCTTAAAAGAAGATGACAGACACTCCCATACCTGAGATACATAGCATTCCTGGATAGACTACTGCATTTATCAGTGACATTGATGACTATCAGTACACCTAGGAGCTATTCAGTGGAGTGGCTCATGTTCCTCCCTTATGTCCCTCTTGGACATTGGGTTCCATGCTCCCCTTGAACACTCAACTGGATGTGTCTATGCTAGGAAGGGGCAGCCATCCTTTCTGGGTCCAAAGCTCAGCCATATGCCAAAAGGAAGATTTTATCAGACTCACTCCTCACTGTAAGCCGATACAGTATATCTCTCTTTAGTTGATCTGACACCCAGTTGAGACAGGTCTGATGATAACGATGATGATGAACTTTTCCCTTTTAATCTTAATTTTCCTCTCCTTCCTCTCTGCCTTCATCCCTTGTTCTACTCTATTTTTAGTAGACTTATCCAGAAGAAATTTATTCTCCTCTTTAGATAGCGTCTTTAAACCCCTTCCCAACCCAACTCATGTTCTAAAGCTTGTGATGTGTTTTTTTCTTTCCAACTTGACAGACACCTTTTTTGTTTTTGTTTGTTTGTTTGTTTTTTGACACGGTCTCATTCTGTCACCAGGGCTGGAGTGCAGTGGCATGATCACAGCAGCCTAGAACACCTGGGCTCAAGCAACACTCCTGCTTCAGCCTCCCAAGTAGCTGAGACTACTGGCATAAGCCTCCATGTCCACGCCATCCATTCTGATAGACAGGTTTACTTTTCTAGTAGAAGCCACAGCCCTGAGTAGGACAAATGGATGGCCAAACAAGGCAGTCAAGATGGGTGGTGAGATTGACTCCATCTTTTTCCTTGCCCCGCAGGCCCCTAGGAGAGGGTTTCTCTGAGTCCTGATGTTTCCCACTTCATACCTAACAATGGTGAGGAACTGGGGCCAGCCTTTGGGGATCCAGCACTTCTCTCCAGGCGACAGGTAGCTGCTTAGAGGTTCTGGGAGGAGAAGAATCCTGCTATGACCAATTCTGCAAATGGATTCTAATATATCTTTACAGTCTTGGGACCCTAGGAAAGTGCGTAAGTGTGTGTGTATGTTGGTGGTGGAGTTATTCCAGGTCATGCCACCTGGAAATTACTACATCAATCAGACCTGGAGCTTCCAGCTCACTTCATTGTCCCCAAAAAGGCATCTTTGCTCAAGAAAAGAACCAAAATCATGGCTCAGGAAGAGATGGCCCCAAGTTAGGCATCTTGAGTGTGTTTGCATGAGTGGAGGGGTAGGTAGGGTAGGAGGTTATTCAGGAGTCCTAGTTCTCCAGGTCTAGCCAGACCCTCAACATTTATCCATGTGCTCACTGCTCTGCTTTCTGCCTCCCAGCTGGCCGTGCACTAATAGGGTTCCGGTGTCAGGGAAGGCTGCACCTCCAGTGTTTAAGGCCACTTTCTGTGCATGTGTGTGCACCTGTGTGCACGCTTTCCCAGAAGCACGTCTCCTTGTTCTTTTGGGAGCTTTGTGTCCTGGAGCCAGGGCTTTGTGGCTAATGAGTGCTTTGAAAGGATGAAATTCCTGTGCTCTGGCTCTCTGACCCTCTGTCTTCCTTCCTTGGCCAACAGCCCACCCCAGAGAGTGGTGTGATTCTTACCACTGCCTTCACTCCTTGAAAGAACAAACATCTTCACTGCAGCATCCGAGCGCTGGTGTGAGGTGATTGTTTGTAGTAGATGTTTCCATGACATTCATTTATTTCTTCTGCAAATACAACTGTATTGGGGGAGGGGAGGGAGAGAAGCTAGGGTAGGGCGACTGGGACAAACGAAGACCTTCCGGTTTCCTATTTACATTTCTCTGTAGGGTAAGAAGCCCCTTCCCTTTCCCTGGGTCTCCTCTCTCCCGGACTCCTGAGGCGTTCCCCAAACCCATCTTGGCTTCGTGCGGCCGAGACGGGGCTGGGCTCCGAGTAAGGTGGGGAGGGGAGGAACCATGTGCGAGAGGAAGCAGCCTTTATCAGGAGAAGTGGGGAAAAAAACTCAACTTTGACAGCTCAGAGTCGGGATTCAGTAATGATGAGGAGCAGTGACCAGCACTGGGGGTGGAGTGTGTGTGCACGCGTGCTCCTGAGGGATCTGTGGCACTTCGCAGCTGAGCCAGTGACTCACTGAATCTTAGCGACTTTGAGAGGTCATTTTAGTCATCCCCCGGCCTGCATCACGTTTGGAGGGGGTGGTGCGCCGCTCTGGGGACGTGTCTGGGTGCGGTGGGAGTGGGGGTGGGGAAGCGGCGCGTGACCTCTTTGAAAAGATTTCCGGCAAAGGACGTTCCCCGGCTGTCGCCGGCCGCCGGCTCCCGGGTTTCCCCATCACGGAATCAGCATGGTCCTCCCGGGAACTGCTTTTTGCAGGATGAAAACCGGATGTTGGGTTCCACGGGTGGGCGGGGGCTCCACTCACTCCCCTCAGACCTGTCCCGGGAAATTGCGACCCGTCAGGGTCTCGTTAGAAGCTACCATTTCCTTCACCAGAAACTTGCCATGCAGCGTGCGCCGAGACGAGCGGGCAGAGACGCTACACCGCCTTCTCCCCGGCAATGCGCATGATTCTGCGGCTCTGTGCTCGCCACTCTTCAACGCACCTTGAAATGGGCTCGCCTCCTTCGCGCCGCGACGGGCGGACGGCCGAGCCAATCGGGGCCCCGGATGGCGGGCGGCGCCCAATAGGCGGGCGGCGGGGGCGGTCCCGGAGGCCTGGCCCGGCTAGGCTTCACCGTGGACCTGGCTGCGCTCCGCCCGGGCGAGTAGTGCAGGTGCCGCTGCGCCGGGGCCTGGGAGGCGCGCGCCGAGCGGAGCGGAGCCGAGGAGGGATGGAGAGCTGGCCGCCCGGGCTGCAGGAGCACCGGCGCGGGGCGTAGGCGGCGCGAGGCGGGCGCGAGGCGGGCGCTCGGGCGCGAGGCGCGTGCGGGCGCGGGAGCACTTTGCGATAGGATGAGGCTCCGGGCTGGCGCGGTAGTACTATGATTTGGTATGTGGCCACTTTCATAGCAAGTGTGATCGGCACCCGAGGGCTTGCGGCTCAAGGTGAGTTGAAGTGCGGCGTCCCTCCCTACCCCTCCCGGCGCCCTCGTCCCCTTGCGCCCGGCCCCCCTGTTCCCCGGACCCTGGGTTCCCATCTCCCCGGCTCCCCGGCTCTCTTTCCTGCGAGTGAGGCTCGGGATCCGGCTTGGGCCAGGCGCGCCCGGGGGCACTGTCGGGGAGGGACTGGGGGCCGCGGGCTGGAGGGGTGGGAGGGAAGGCGCCCGAGCCCACGGACTGCAGGGCACCCGGGGAAAGGACGCCGTGGTATCCGGGTCGACTGCGCCCACCACGGGCCCCACGGTACACTCCCGCGCGGCGAGCCGGTCGCCTCCTGCCCCGGTGGCCGCCTCCCAGAGCTGCGGGAAACTCCGGCTGCGGGAGTTTGCGGTCTCTGGGCAGGCTGCAGCACGCTCGAGCCCCGCGCCGCGAGGAGCGCCTGCCGGGAGGCGCGATCTGGAGCCCTGGGACTCGCGGCAGACGAGTCTAAGGCTCCCGGTTGGCGGCCCTGCGGGCGCCCAGAGCTCTGCTCGCACCCGTCCTGCCCACACATCTTGGCAGCTGGAGGTCTGAGCCCCGTTGCAGGGGCGCCCCGTGAGAGGAGGGCGATTGATGAGGCTGGCTTCGAGGAGTGTCCGCTTTTGGCTGGACCTGGCCGGCGCCGGCGCCGCTCTGAGCGGCACCTGCCAGGCAAAAGTTCCCCGGGAGCGCGCCGCAGCCGCGCGGGCCTCACGGTGTCCTCCCCTGCTGCGAGGCAGAGCTGGCTGGGGGCACGGGGAGGGGAGGGGGGTCCCTACGCTGTGAATCCGAGCGGAGGGGGGATTTTTCTCTTTACCAGTTCTGAGCTGGGGGAGACGCAAGGGGGAAGCCACCGAGTTGGGTGATGCGTGCGTGAGCGCGCGGCTTTTGCTTTGGAGATGAGCTGAGGGACCTGCAAGCCTCTGGGTGGCACCCCCGGCTCTCGGCCCTTGTATGGAAGTCGGAGCGGAGCCTGGTGGGTGCCAGGACTGTGAGCTCAGGGCTGTCAGCCCACAGACACGACCTGGCTGCGGGCAAGTTCACCAAGCCGGAGGAGATGGCGGCTGGAGAGAACCCGCCGTGGGTGGGAGTCAGCAGGCAGGACCCGCCGACGGAGTACCCTCTCCCAGCGGCGCGGGGCACCGGGTGGGCTGGAGGCGCCTCTCACGGGGTTTTCTTGTCACCCGTCTGTGCAGCGGGTAGTGCTTCAAGAAACTTTCTGGAATGGAATGAATATGTCGCCTCTGCTTGGGGTGGGGGGTGATGGTGTCTGAAAACAGAAACAGCGGAGGGCGAAGGGAAGGGTGATTTTATTAACTGACATGTTGGTCCGGGTGGTTTTAAAACTCTTCGTTTGTCAGGTGGGAACACTGAGGCCAAGGTGGTGGCGGAAGCTTACGGAACGGGGTGGATGTGAGGTGGGTCGGGCTGCGCTTGACAGTCAGCCTGGAGCCTCATCCTCTCCCCCATTTCCTCGCCGTCTTCCAATGCCCGCATCCTACTCCCCTCCCGTTTTTGGTATGTTCCTGCTATGGGACTGTCCCTGAAAGCACAAAAGGATGAGCTGGGATCTTTGAATAGAAAAGAGACGCTGTAGAAGGGCTCTGAAATAGCCTCCAAACCCAAGTCAGGGTGGGGGGAATGGACTTCTTTGCAAGTTTAAACCCAGAATAAAGGAATATGAGTTTATACTGCAGCAACACACAGAATTGTAAGATAGAAGGAAGGGCTTCCCAAAATTGAAGGTTGCCGGGCATGAAGGTTATGCCCTCTTTCAGGGTGCAGAGGGGTCCTTCTGTCTGGAATGGCTGGACGTGTACCTCTGTCTGGAAGCAGAGGGTGACCTTATTGGTCTTAGGGTCTTTTTTAGCCTCAGGTGCTCTGTGTGTGGTAGTTAAGGACCTACGTCTAGAGCCATAAGACTGGATTCAAATTATGGCTCTGCCACTTGCTGACCCTGTGACCTTGGACAAATTCTCAGCCCCTCTAAATGTCACTTGCCTCAATATAAAACGTGCCAACAGTTAGGGTTTTTAGATGAGCGTTAGTGCTATAAGGAAACAAACAACTACCTGTTAAATAGTATGTGCTCAGTAAACATTAACATTATTATTGAATGTCCCTGGGATTTCAGGATCCTCCTCAGTTTTCCTTCCCTTGGGCCATTCAGGGCACCAGGAGCTGGGAATGTGTTGCGGGGAAGTTTGAAAGGCTGCCAGTGCCAGGAAGTAAGACCCCTTTCTGGGCTGACCTCTTCTGGGCAGAACCTCTTGTACCTGACATCCCAGGGACACGTGTGCAGGCCTCAAAGCTGCTTGGAAGTCCTTTGCAAGGTCTCCAAAGCTGAAATGTTGTCAGTGGCCAGAAGCTTATGGAAGGACACAGCCCGGGAGGTAGGGGCTCCCAGCACGCAGCCTCTGGAGGGAGAGGATGGGTGCCCGCTCAAGTGAGCAGCACCAGCCAGTGTTCAGAGGCTGGTGAGGCTCCCTGTGAGGGCTCAGCTGTTCCCTGACTGGCAGAGGTGACTTCTAGGGAAATCCCTCAGCAGGAGGGACTTTGAGATGCTACTCTTAGGATTTGGCCATAGCAGGGGCTGCTCCGGCAGAGGGGCAAAAGGGATGGTGCTATGTTGGGACTCCACTCTAACAGCCCTTGGGTGCAGGACAGAGGTTGGAATGGGTTCCTGCTTTTGACTTTGAGTGTGTGTGCCTGGGAGGTGATGAAGGTCAGTGAACAGGTTGAGGGAGTGTGGAGAAGAGAGGGGCTGGAGTGGTACCCAGAACCTGGAAGACTGTGATTGGTGTAGACTCAGTGTCTCAGACAGCTGCTGAGCCAGCCGCGGGGAGTTCCCGCTCTGTGGGAGGACCCTGGGCATTGCTTAGCCGACTGTGGACCTTGGATAGGGGAAGGAAGTCTGGGACTTTACTCCCACGGCTGCCTCCTCTGTCTGCCACAGATTCTGTGGTTGCATTATGCCTGACTATAGTGTCCCCAAATACAGTGGCGTTCTGACTCAGATCCTGCTGGTAGTTGAACCACTGCCCTCTAGTCTCTACCTGGCCTTGACCTACTCTTTTTCCTTTTGGTAATGAAGATGGGAGGGTGGAGGTTTGAACCCAGAGGTTGCTGTCAAGACCCCATGGTGAGCCTGTCGGCGGAGAAGGACTTAACTCCGAAAGTGGTCAGTGGGTGGATTTGTGTGTGTGTCCTCAACACACACACGCTGGGGACAGGAGTGTATCTGGCAGTATGTGCCCTGGGGGAAGCTGGGGAGTTGGGGGCTTGGCTGAGGGGCAGGGCAAAATCAGCTTTCAGCCCTGGGCCTGTGGCCCAGCATGTGCTGGTCTTGGAGTTGCAGGGTCCCAGACCTGGAGTGGTTTTGCGTTTATGGCTCTGAGACAGAAAGCTGGGATCTGTTTACAAAGGAGCAGAGGCTGCCTCGCTGAAGATCTGAGCTCCATATCCTGTGGCTTTCTCGGGCTGGGGTGCAGGATGCTCAGGGAGCGGTCCCCTTCCACCTGCTTCCTCGAACAGGTTAAGCAGCTTGTGTGAAGAGTGGATCTGAATGGTCAAAGAGCTGCAACTGCTGAGAGCTTCCAGCTGTCCAGAAGTGTGTGTGTGTGTGTGTGTGTGTGTGTGCATGCACACGTTCCTATAGGCGTGTACATATGTGTGTGCTCTTGCATGTGTGCATAAATGTGCCCCTGTATGTATATGCATTGCGTATGTGTGCACACCTGTATGTGTGTGGACACGTGCCCATACCTGTGCATGTCCATGCATGTATGCCTGCGTGCACGTACATGTGCAGCCTGTATGTGTGCATGCCCACAAGTGCTTGAGTGCCTGTGTGTTTGTGTGCACATTCGTGGAGTTGACAGGGTGGGGAAGTTAGTGTGCAGGCACGAGGTGGGGGCCACTCCTCTCCCCACTGGAGCCTGAGAGCAGAGAGACCCTTGGAGCCAGTTCCTTGCCTTCCTGTCCTCTCCCGCCATGCCGCGGTACCCTGGTTGCTGGACTCCAGGCAGCCTAGAGGTTACGAGAGGGGCAGGCCCCAGCCTAGGGCCTGTCTGTCTCCCTGAGGGTGTGGCTGTGGTCTCAGTTGCTCACTCCAGAGGACTGTAGGGTTGGAGAGGCAGCTTATGCCCATCCCCCACAAGGCACTGCCCACGGGTGTGAGCCCAGTCTGCTGGAGGCAGCTGACCTATTTTTCTTGGGAATCTTCCTGCTTTTCTGTTCTCTCTTGCGTGAATAAGCAGGAGATGGGGCCTCTAAGAGGGCTCTGGAGAAAGGGTCCATGTGTGCTGGGGCTGGGCTCCGGAGCCTCAGCTGGCCTGACTGTCCTTCTGAGAAGGCCCTGCTCAGCCTGGCCTTCCATCCCCCGAGTCCCCTTGCCTCCCTCCTGATTGTATGTGCCCCCGAGATGGAATGGGGGGCTGCGACTTGCACACAGGCACAGACTGTACGAGGTGAGTCACTGTCTTCGTTTTCTGGCTTTGGAGTGGGAATGTTGACGTTGCCTGGGGAGTAAACATGGGACTTCGGCTTCCCACGGACTTACCGCCTCTATCTGGCACCTTACCACGGAGCCCAGCCTCCTGGGGGCCGAACCCATGGCGCCCTCACTTTGCTAGGCTGCCTGCTGGCTGCAGGGCTGCGTGCACCTGGGCCCTGAGAGTGCGGGGCAGGCCTCTGCCCAGGTGGGGAGAAGGGCTGTGGGGGTGTGGCTTTGCCTCTGCTGAGTAACCATTAAAGGAGCAGAGCGGAGATTGAATTACTGACTTCCTTCCTGCCAGTGGCTCCTGGGGAAAGGGCTCTTGGAAATACAATCTAGCCGAGAGCAAATTAAGGTTGCTAATAGCATCCCGGCCTCACAGCTACTGGGGAGCCCAGCTGAGAAAGGTCAGGGCAGAGCAGCCCTTGCAGAAGGAAGCAACCTACCAAGCCTGCCCCTCCCCAGTGCCTCTCTCTCCCTCTCTCCCTAAGGAGCAGCTGGGTCTCCCTGACCCCTGGCTTCTGAACTGAACCAGAGACGTTTGGTGGCAAGTGGGGGCTGGGAGGGCCGTGAGGGTACAAAGGGGAGACCACCGAAGGGTGGACGTGCTCTGAGGTGCTGCTGGGTTGGGTGTGGGGGTCTCTCCTGGAGGCAGAAGGGTGTCCAGAGCGACCTGTACCTGCCTGTCAGCGTTTTGGGCCATGTCTCTTCCCCCGCCTCGTCCTTTCTGGGTCTTTGCTGTGCTCTGGGTCCCGCCTTCCTCCTGCCTTCTTCTGGGCGTGTGCCTCCCACTTTGCGAGAGCCCCGGCTCTGCCAGCTTCCTGGAATCTCCTGGAGCCTCCTGGCTTGTCAGGGAGGAGGGGTTGGGGGACTATTGGGGGCTGTGCCTTTTTTGGACTCAGCAGGGATTATTTTTAGGCTAGCAGATGGAGGTGGCGGTGGCTGTCGCTGGTATTATTAGACAACAGGCCTGTGGTTTGGAAGTCTGTTGCCCAGAGGAGGAGGAGGAGGAGGAGGAGGAGGAGGAGGAGGAGGAGGAGGCTGCAATAAGGACTTGTACTAATGAGCAACAGAAGCTGGTGCTCATTCCGTTCTCCCCTTCCCCAGCCACCCGCTAGACCCAGGTAGAGGTCCCAGAGTCTCAGGCAGAAGGCCAGACTCCCTAGAGTTGGCCGGAGCCCACCCAGCCGCCTTCTGAGACAGGCCCACCCTATGGCCCTAGGCTTCAGGGTCTGGACTGGCAAAACCTGTCCCAAGTGTGGGGTAGGAGTTGCCGACCTCTGGCTCAGGCCCTAAGAAAGGGAAAAAGGAGGGACAGTGGGTGAGAGGCCTTGATCCCAGGGCCTGGGTTGGGCCAGGATGCCCTCTGCCCCATCTGCTTTCTGAGAAGGAGGACAGGGATGCCACCCATGCGTTGGGAACAGCTGGAACTGAGTAACTTTGGGTGAGCCGCACAGCTCCCTGTTTGCTCATTTTTCAATGGGAGACAGCAGTGCCTGTGTCAGGAGGCCATTGTGGGCAGGGACGGAGATTCCCTGCATTCCCAGCACAGAGCCCAGTGTGCAGCAGGCATGCACAGCATGTGAGGCCTGCGTGCCAGCTGATGCTCTCCCAGCCCTGCTCCTCACACCTTCCCCTGCATACCTTCCTTCGTATTTAGAGCAGTCCTGCTCTCAGGTACCGTCCTTCCTTAGCCCTTCCCTGGTGGAGGAGCTCCAGGTTCTGAGTGTTGGACAGGGACTGTGCCAGGCCCTGGATGCCTCATAGTTCTGCACAGGGGGTCCAACGGCAGCCCTGGACTCAGCCACCCCACTGGGTACCACCTGTCCCAGAGAGCAGGAGATACATACCCTGTGGGCTTCCCAAAAGGTCAGCCAGACCTCGGGGGGCGACCTCATCTTTTTTTGCCCTCCTACTTTCTCTTCCCTGCCATAACTGCTCCAAAGGGAGCTGGGCACACCCCTAAGATACAGATTTACTAGGCTCTGGGCACTGCTATTTCTGGCCTTGTCTAAGAACAGTGTGAGACCTATGGCACTGCATGGCTGCCTTACACTATGCCCACCCCTGACAGTGCCAGTTTTCCCCCTTTGAGGGAGGGGCCTGGCCCCCTGGGCTGCTGTGATGGGAGAGGGGCTCAGCACCCTCCAGCCTCTGCTTCCCCTCTTCCTCCTGGTCCTCCCCTTCCTCCTGACTCCCTTCAGGAGCCAGCCCTTCCCCCTTCCAGTCTCAGTCTGCTCCCATCCAGGCTCTGGGGTGCTCTGGCAGTGTTCAGGTGGCCTGAGCTCTCCCTCCCAGGGCTAGGCTCTGCACCTGGCCCATTCTCCAGCCCTCCTCCCTTGCGGCTTTGCAGCTCTTCCACTCCTGGATGTGGGTGTGGTTTCCCTTTATATTTGGGCTTCTCTATCTCTCCTCCATCTTTCCTCTTTACTGCCAGCCTGATTACTTTTTTTCACGTTGAGCTTTTCTGGAGAGAGTGTGTTATTAGACATACTTTGGCTCAGAAACGATCAGGCTTAGGGAGAAGTGCTTGTGGGTGATGGAGTGAGAGAACATGCCGTGCGTGTGTGTGTGCGCGCGCACGCGTGCGCATTTGTGTGTGAAGGAGATGGCGGAAAACTGATAAATATTTTAGGATCCAGAAAAGCAAGAGGGTTTGGACTGAGTATGGAGGCCAGGACATGGGTGCCCACACCACTGCTGTATTTTGGGGAAGCTCCCTCTCATTTCTGTCTTACTTATCCTCTTTGGGGTGTGTTCTCTCTGCAGCTGCCTCTCCCTGGTTGAAAGAGTCTTTGGGAAGAGATGCCGGGAGGGGACTGCCTGCCTTGGGGGTAGGCGTTACACTGGGTGCTCAGCACTTAGTCCAGGGGCTAGCAGGGGCTGGGGCTGGGGCTGGGGCTGGGGCTGGGCTGGGAGCCAGGTGCTGGGGAAGGTGTGAAGAGGCTGCCTCATTTCTATGCGGTGAGAATGAGGCAGGCTAGGTGCAAATGAGCAGCCTCACAGCGGGAGCCCATGTCAAAGCCCACCCACCTCCTGGCATTGCCCCCTAGAGCCCTCCACCTGGAAGCCAGCTCACTAGAGTAAAACTTCACTGTTGGAGTCGCCTGCTGTCTCCCTAGGCCTCTCTCTGTTCCTCCTGCCTGGGCCCTAGGGCCAAAGCCCTGGGAAGGAACCACCTTCTGTGGCCCACTCTGCCCTCCTCTAGGTAACCTGGCACCTGGGAATAAAACTCCCTCCTCTTCCCCTAGGCTCCTGTAGTTTCTTATCTCCTCACTGGTCTGTGCTGCAGACACACACACACACACACACACACACACACACACACACACACACGCTGCTTCTCTGCAAGCTCATGGTGCCCATTATTCACCCATTCCTCTTGGTCCAGCATCTGCCTTTGTGCTCCTGGCTGCTGGGAGACAGGCTCTCCTGCTGAGGGCCCCTGGGGCTGTGGGGGACGTGAGGCTGCAGCTGGGCACTCTCCCTGCTTTCCCTGAGGGGCGGGGATGCAAACTTAGCCTGAAGCAAGGTTGAGGGTGGGGGAATTGGGAAACCTGCTGGGGCCTCAGGCAGGTGAGTGCAGTGCTCTGCTCTGTCCAAAAATACTCTGTGATCTTAGCTCTTTCTCTAGAAAACAGTGATGTCACCGGGAGCCAATCAGCTTCTGGAAGGGCTTGCCTCCTCCCTCTTCCGCAACTTGCAGGGGAGGGGGAGAGGGAGAATGAGACACACAGAGATGACATACAGACAGACATGGAGAGCCACAGACACGAAAGTACACACATGCAGAGACAGAGCCCTTGCATACAGAGAAGCAGGCAAAGCCCCTCCCCTTGCATGAGCCAACTGAAACACACACACACACACACACACACACACACGGGTACACACACAGGCACACACAGGCACACACACAGGCACACACACACACAGGCATGCTGGTAGATAGAAGCAGGGAGAAAGATAGGCAGGTAGGTAGCCACCCACATAGAGCAAGAGCTAGGGAGAAATAGAGACAGAGAGAGACACAGAGAGACATGAAGGAGAAGCAGGAGCCAGAGAGAGACGACAGAGAAATGCAGAGATGGAGCCAGCAAGGCAGACAGACAGACAGACGGAGGAGCCAGAGAGAGAGAGACACACGGAGATCGAGAGAGAGACAGACAGACACACACGCAGAGGAGCCAGCAAGACAGACAGACAGAGATTCAGAGATGCAGAGAAGAAGCCAGAGAGACACAGACACAGAAGGCAGAGAGAGACAAATAAGAGAGACAGAAAGAGTGAGAGGGAGAACCAGGGAGCCCACAAACTGAGAGAGAGGGAGAGACAGAGCACATGCAGAGGAGCCCAGCATGTGTGTGCGTGTGCACACACACAGAGAAGTGTCCACACACAGATGTGAAGGGATGGAGACAGGAAGGCGCACACGGGGGTCCGAGACACAGAAGGAGTCAGACCAAGGCACCAGGATGGGGGAATGGCAGGGGCTGGTGCTGCCCTCCTCTGGGCACCCTTTCCTGCGGGAGGCCCAGCCAGCTCCCTGTCTTTGGGCTTTGGTACTGCAGCTGCTGTCCTAGGTGCTGCCTTGGAGAGTCAGATGCCTGGCCTGGGACCGGGAGGGTCTGGGGCTGGGGAAAGCTGTGGCCAATTGCAGGGGTGGCAGTAGTACCAGGGAATGAAGGAGGTGAGGCTTCCCCTCAGCCGTCCCTTTCCCTAGGACATAGCTGGACAAGGTGACCTTGTGGCCTCCCTGGCCCTGCCTGGCAGCGGAGCCTGGCTTGAGAGGAGGGCTGCATGCCCTGTTTGGGCCCAGGAGCGGGGCTGCGGTGCTTGGGGTGCGTGGCTCTTCCTCTCTGCAGCATCCTCCGGCTTGCAGTGGGGTGGAGGTGGGGTGGTTCTCCTGGTCGCTGCCTTGCGGGCCCCCTCTGCTGCCTGCCAGGGTGGGTGTGCCCTATCCCACTATCTGGTTTCATTTTCCTCTGCCCAAGGTAGGGGCAGCCCTGGGGTCTCCCCAGCTGGTCTCCGTCCCCAGCATCCTGCTCTAATGGTGATGTCTGGAGCTTGGGCCCCTCCCACTGCCCCCTCTGCGGCAGGGCTGGCGAGAGCTGTGCCGGGAGGAGGGGCTGGAGAGGCTGGCCCGGCCTGCGGGGCTTTCCCTCTGGTGTTGCCACGAACAGCCTCGGCTGAGCTTGTTAGGGATTTCCCTGCTCCTGCATGGAGTACCCTTGTTTTGTGCCGTGCACATCAGGCTGAGCTGGGGGTGGGGTGGAGGAGGAAGGCTGGCTCTGTCAGTTCCCACCAGGCTGTAGTGGGAAGCATCCTGGTGCAGAAAGAATGTTCCGTGGGCACAGGCGGCCACAGCTGGGCAGTGCTGTGGGCGTCCAGAGGGGGCGGAGGCCCCTCACCTCCATGTCCTCGATTCCTTGTAATTCTTGGGGCTGGATGCCAGCAGGGGGTGGGGCTGGATGACGTCTCCTGCTCTTTGAGACTGGGGAGGGAAGATCTGGCATGTAGGACTGAAGAGAATGGCTTCTCTCTCCTTTCGCACGCCATTCCTTTCCCCCAAGTTGTGGATGCTTGGGGGCCCCGGGACAGAGGGAGTTATGAGCAGTGAGGTGGAGCGGGATGGAGGGTGTGTGCAGAACCCTCCTGGGAGGGCCCGGTAGCCCATGGAGGGTGGCTGGTCGGGGGGGGGGGGCAACCTTGTGACACGGGCATGGGGCTGCTGAGGCAGGATCTCTTTGTCACCTTTTTCCTGTGTCCAACCTGGCTGTCCCCATCAGGCGCCCACGGCCTGCGAGAGGAGCCTGAATTTGTGACGGCAAGAGCTGGGGAGTCCGTGGTCCTGAGATGCGACGTGATCCACCCAGTGACGGGACAGCCCCCACCCTATGTTGTAGAGTGGTTCAAGTTTGGGGTCCCCATCCCTATCTTCATCAAGTTTGGCTACTACCCCCCGCATGTGGACCCTGAGTATGCAGGTAAGATCTGGGTGCCCGGCTTTCCACGCCCTCCCCGTCTGGAGTCAGCTCCTCCGGGCTTCCCCTCTGGGCCCTGACTTTTCCTGACCACTCTTTATCTCTGTTTCCCAGGGTTCTCCCATCCCTTGTCCTCTGGTAGGTTTTAATTAAGCAGTGGGAGGAGAGGGAAGTGGAGGTGCTGCAGGCGAAAGCCTTCTAAACAGTACCGCCTGGGGTGTGAGAGGGCTGGGAGCCATGGGGGAAGCTGGAGAGGCCTGGGTGGGAGAGTGGGATGGAGAGGACAGCAGGCCGAGTCAGGCAGCCCTGGGCCAGGGTGGCTTGCACTGCTGGCTGCACCCACCCCTTCCCACGTGGCTCTAAAGTCAGTGTGCCTTCCCATCCTGAGTGTACAGATGACTCTCCGGCCTCCCACCATTTGCGGGTGCCTGGTCTCTGCCTCCTCTGCCATGCTGTCCTGTCCTTCTCCTGGCCCTGTCTGTGTCCTGCTTGGCAGTTACTCCTGCCAGCAAAGGCCTCGTGACTCATGCCGCTGCCTGCCCCCCAGCCCTCCGGAGAGGAGGGCGTGGGTGTGTGTGCGTGTCATTGAGTGAGCGTGTGTTGGGGTTGAAAGGAAGGGAGGAAGCAGGCAGGGCACTGCCTTCACTTTCATCTTTGCTGGTGGCTTCTGAGGTCTGCCCTGCCTTTCTCAGAGTGCTTCCGTCTCTGTCTGCCTTTCGCTCCTGTGTCTATGTCTCATGCTCTCTTTTTGACCAGGATTGGCTTTGAGAGTCTAGTTTTTAGGCAGGTTGCCAGTGTCAGGACAAGGAGGAGAGCAGAGGCGCTGTGCTATTGGCTGGGCTGAGGGGTGAGCTAAGAGTGGTGGGGTGGGGGGCCGACCCCAAGGGCTGCTCCACCCTTCTGGGGTCATGGAAGGGGCTTCTGCACCTCCAGCCTCCTCATTGCCACAAGTGAGACACAGATGGCATCCTACTGGGGTGGGGATTGGAGTTGAGGAAGGGTGGCTCCAGGATGCTTGCTCTGATTACCAATCCTTTCCTTGTTCTTGGATTTCTGGGCCCTTCTGCCCTTAGCTCCTTGGGTCGATGGGCTTTGGTAGGATATGTAGTCTCTCTGGCACTGACAGCAGGACTGGGAGGGGACCATAGCATCCTGGTCCCCAGCCTGCCTTCCCTCTGCCCTAAAGAGGGAAGCTGGGTGAGCCAGTCCTGGGCACCCTGCTGGGATAGGGATATTGCTAAACCTGAATGGAGGTGCTCCTGGGTGCACTGGAGACTCCCCAACCTTCTGTTGGTACTTTCTTTCTTTCTCTCTTTCATCTCTTCTCAGCTCTGTATCCATCATGCCTTACTTTTGTCTCAGGAGATCTCCAAAAGAATGGGAGTATTCTAAGGAACTGAGGCTTCTCTCAGTGCCAAGCGCATTGAGTTGCCTTGCAGGCTGGGGCAGGGCCAGCTGGGGCAGGAGAGTGGCTCCGTGGCCAAGGTGCTATGCCCTTTCCTTTGCCACCTGCTGCTGGAGGTGGGTGCCAGCTGTTACTCCAGGGCCCTGACATAGGGAATAGTGTGAAGATTATGATGGGTCCTCTGTCTTTAGCTGGGGCAGGGGGTGGGGAGCTGCTGGCCTTCCCTGATGGTCTGTGGGGCATTTGTCTGCTGTCTTCCCCCAGGGCGGGCCAGTCTTCATGATAAGGCATCTCTGCGGCTGGAACAAGTTCGCTCTGAGGACCAGGGCTGGTACGAGTGCAAAGTGCTCATGCTGGACCAGCAGTATGACACCTTCCACAACGGCAGCTGGGTCCACCTCACCGTCAACGGTGAGTGAGGGCTCCTTCCAGCGCGGGTCCACCTCTCCATCAGTGGAGTAGCCCTGGAGGACTGCCCCGAGGGCCTGCCCCAGAGGAGGCTCTTCTCCTGAATGCACCCTACCCCTTGCCCCCTCCTTGCTGGGGTGGTCCCGTAAGACATCAGCTCGCTCCTGCAGCGCCCCCGCCACTGTCCTCCTGAAGCGTCTGCAGGCAGTGCAGGTGCCCAGGAGTGGCAGCTCTCTGCATGCGTGGTGCTGTCAGAGTCCTTAGAGGGACTTGGGAAGCTGCTGCTTCAAACCAGGAAGGCTGAGGCTTTAAGGAGACAAAGGTCACTGACGCTTTAGGTCACTACTGGGATTATTTCTCAGCCTTGGGAAGACCCTGCTACCCCAATTCTGGTGGAATTCCTGGGGTCCTAGAGTTAGTCTTTCTTTTTTAGATTGATATTTTGGTTCTCTTTAACTGTGTTCATTTGAGTAGTATGTCCCAAGGGTGTAGTGTGTAGCAGATGATGGATAAACACTGGCAAGAAGACCTGTACCCAGTCCCTGCTCATGTGGGGTTTACCAGCTAATAAAATGTAGGCATCCTGGGAAGAGTCACAGTTTTAATGGCCATCAGTTACTTACAGCTCAGGCTAAATGACTTGTGCTTGGTAAGATGCTTTTCAAGGGTCTGGGTAAGGGCAAGGAAGCCCCGAGAGCTTGCAGAGCTCCAGGAGTTGGCTTAGGCTGAGGGCCTGGGTCCCTAGCAGTGACAGCACTAGGGACTGGGTCCTCAGGGTCTTCCTGGAGGGAGAATCTCCTCTGTGTCCCTGGAAGGAGGTACTCTGGAGGAGCCAGAAGCCTGCAACCATGGAGAAACGATGAAGGACAAGTGGTCCCCGTAATGGGAGGGGAGAGGGTTTTAAAAAACATTTCATTTCATTTTTTGGCCAAAAAATTAACAATATATCTTTCATTCTGTCAATGACAAAAGTGTATCTAGCCACCACTGTGTTGCAGAAACGGTGCTAGCTATTGACACTTCAATAGTGTGGGTGCTGGGGTGCGCCACATACAACTTAGGTCCTTCTGGTTTTGATGCTCGAGACATAGATGCTGTGGTTAGAAGAGAGAAATTGATGTTCCTGCGTGGAAGCTTCTCTCAGCATTGATCCGCCCTGAAGGGTGGCTCTGTCTGCCCTGCCTAGTGGGTACTGGGCCAGACCTGTGTTTCTTTTGGGTCTGAGAACTTGTCTGGGGTCCTGAAAGAACAGAGGATGTTATGTTTTAGCAGGGTCACTGGCTTTGGGAAAAGAAGCCGTAAAGCTGGTGTCGGTCCAGCCTGCCTAGCCCAACCTTCCCTGTGGGAGGTAGCTGGCTCCTGTCAGTCAGTCCCAAGAGATTGAAGCACACTTGAAATCTTGGGGGGATTGTTCTGACCGCCTGGCAAGCTTTTGAGTCACCCCCTTTTGGTGCCTGCTGTTGCTTGAGGAGGGAATTGGAACCCAAGCAAAGTGTTATTAGGAAGGCAAACCTGCCGCTAAAATCTTGCTGCGATGAACAACAGGCTGGGGGTTCCGCATTGCTTCGTTTCTCTCCCGTGCTCTGTCCTGAACAGTGGGTGAAATCATCTTGGGGCACTGCCTCCATTCCTTTGCATCATCCTGGTTGGCAGTGTTTATTTCAGGAATCTGAGACACCAGGCATTCATTGGACGTGCGTATGACTGGAAAGTCAAATCTCACTGGCAATGTATGTTCTAGAGCGTATCTGTGTTAGTTTGCATGAGTAGGAATTGGCTCTTTGGGAATTCCTAATTGCTTTGGGTGGGATAAGCATGGAGCAAGACCTTTAAAAGGTGAGGCTCATTTCATAAACGCACTGTGTATTAGCTGTGTGGCACTGGGCAAGGTCACTTACCTGTCGGACGGCAGGTTCCTCCGTTACAAAAAGCAGTGCCTATGATTTGCAGGGTTCCTTGTGAGGACTGAGTGAAATGCTGCGAGAGAAAGGATCTTGTCCAGTAGTCTGGAGTGTTAATTACATGTGGGTAATTATGTGTGAGATGCTGGCCGCCTTCCTTCTCCAGAGGAAAAAAACAAAGTCAGGTGAAAATCTAGTAGCAGGGCTATTAGGCTGGAAGATGCAAAGGACTTTGGTAGTCTTGTGGATCCACCAACAACTGTCCATTTGAAACATATTTTTGGATGTCCACTCTGTGGCAGGCTCTGGGGATACAGCAGGAGGCATGACCCTGTCCCAGGTCTTAAGGAGACTTTAAAAGACTGTCACATCCAGAGATGACTACAGTATGGCTTTGGGAGCACAAAGGAGGGAGAGCTTCTCTGAAGAAATGGCCTGTCTTCAGAGACCTGGCTGGAGAGGGGAGTTGGCCACACGCAGGTGGGAAGTTGGGTAGGGTCCTCCAGGCAAAGTGGATAAGCATGCTTAGAAGCTCAGAGTGAGGAGAGCAGTGCATTCTGGGAACACGGGCAGGTTGTTCATAGCGAAGTGCTGGGCGGGAAGGCTGAGGACGGTGCACCATGTGCTCCAGGCTTGGGAACCAGGGCTGGTGCTGAAAGATGCTCTAACGTAGTCAAGGCAGCTACCTGCGCATGGGCAGAACAGAACAGACACTTCCGAGGTGAGAGATCTCCCTTCTCCTCTTCCCTCTTTCCTTCTTCCCAACTTCTGAGGCTCCTTCCAGCATAAACGTTTCCGTTATTGAAGGAAGGAATCCAAACACCAGCACTCCGTTGCTTTCAAACTAGAATGTTTAATGTCAGCCGTTTTCTGACGTGGATCACCTTTGGAAAATGAAAGGCCAGTGAACAATTAGAATTACAAATTGTCTCATTTTCCTTCGGTATTTTCTTTGAAGACCAGTTGGGTGGAAACAGACCCAATTATTTCTTTATCACATATAAAATACCGCAAAAGCCTGAGCCAAGCCTTCCTTTAGGTTGGTGAATTACATGGAGGAGAGGGCAGCCTATTTCTAACCTGCACTATTAATTATAGGGCACTTGTAAAAAAGAATTAAGCCTGGAAATGCAGCTGGCAAGCTAACATCTAATTCAGTAAATAATTGAGAGTCAAACCATTATTTTCCTGAAAACTAGAAATTGTTCAAAGTACTTTCCTGATTAGCACCTAAATAATAAAGTAATTATGTAATTAGTAAGTAATGTGTCACTTCAGGATGTAAATTTAATTTATTATCTTTTCTTTTAAGCTTGGCACCGGAGGTTATAGAGGCAGTGTCTGTGTTCACCGTATTTCAAGGGGCAGGCCAAGCAGGAAGGGTCTGTGTTGGAGATGAGCACACACTCTTGGTGGGAAGAGGCTCGCAAGTTGGGATCCCAGGAGCCCTATACAAGGACTTCGAATGCCTTTTTGCCATTATTTTTAGTATATTCTTATGAGAATTGATGAGAATTGATTTTTTCAAGGAGGCGCGAGGTGTGTGTTTTTGCGTGTGATGATTCGTGCTCCCGTGTTCTTTCAGTGGTCACCCTCCACGTGCCGCGGCCCTGCCCAGACTGAACTGCAGGCTTTGGGGATGGGGGATGAAAGTGGTCTCACCATGGTCTTGCTCTTAGGCAGTGTTTTGTGTTTGTGCTGGCGTTGGCGTTGGTCTGTAGGCGTGTGTATGTGTGAGCACTACTCATTTGTTTGTTTCATTCTGTCGTTCATTTGACAAATGTTTGCTGAGCCCTTGGCTACTACATCCAGGAACTATGCTAAAAGCTGGGTATGTGGTGACCTACGCAAAAGGGGGCTGCTCTTAAGGAGCCACCGTCTTAATAAAGGGGACAGGTAAGACGCAGGTAAACACACAGAGAGACAGACTTGTAAGTGTTATGTGCTTTGGAGAAAATGAAACAAGAGTGAGGGAGCAGAGAATGCTGGAAGTGCTATCTGAGATGGGATGGGCTGCCCGGGTAAGGCAGCATTTTAGCAAAGACTTGCAAGAACCAAACGAGTGAGATCGGGTATGCATTTCTAGGCAGGGAGAGCAGCACAGGCAAAGGCCCCGAGGTCAGACGTTCTTGGCGCATTTGAGGAAGAGGAAGACAGCCAGTGTGGTTAGAGTGCTAGAGGGGAGATGAGGTTGGCGCTGCAGGCAGGACCAGACCCTAGAGCAGCATTCTGCTTCTCCGGGCAGGGCTGTGTGGGGAGGAGGGACCTCTCCCAAAGCTTCCCATGAATGCGTGAGCGGCTGGCTCCTGAAGAGATGATAGTGATGGTGGTGATACTGGCACTTTGTGCATTTCCCAAGCTGCTTTTTACATGTTTATTCCTCACATCATTTCTGGAGGTGGGAGGTTTAGGTACGACCCGGAGAAGCTTGTCAAGGGTACCAGAAGTGGCAGGCTAGTGCACAAACTTGGGTTCTGAGCTTCAGGTGCCTTGAGATGAGCTCAGCTTGACCTGTGCCAGCCTACTGCTGTGGGCCTCAGGGCTGGAGTTCAGAACTGGGGGCCTCCTTGCCATTTCAGAAGACTGTAGGACTGACAGTCCAAGGGGTTAAGATTGACCGGATTGCTTCTACAAGCAGCTCAGGCAAATGGGACTGAGTCTGTTAAAAGCCGATTATCCAAACAGGATGGAGTTTTAATCAAATCTCCAGTGCAAGGGGGAAGATGACCTGGCATAATCAGAAAAATGAAGAAGGGAGTGGTTCTTGGATGGGCTGCACACCTTCATCCATGGAAGCCAGAGAGGGAGGAAGCTGGATGATTTTCTCTGCAGCATCTGGGAAAATGAGGCTCCGTGTATAGCCTTGGCCTGCAGCTGTGCTAGGCCTTGGTGGGGCTCAGATGGCAAGTGTTCTGGAAATGTGGGGCCTGACTGAGCTGGAGTTCAAGAAGGAGGAGCTCTGGGTGTCGTGGGTCATCATAAGGGGAAGGACTGGAGGATGGTAGAAGAGCCTGGGGAGCTGGGAGCAGACAGGGTGCTGTAACGGCCACCTGGAGTAGATGCTCAGTAGACAGTGAACTGGGAATGAGCCACAGTACAGAAGCTGGGCACTGTACCAGCCGGACTGGGTTTGGATGCAGGCCTCCCTGCTAGTAACGTTGGTAGGCAGAAAGTTTTGCCCATCCCGACCTTCCTTCCTTTGTCCTTGGATTCCGCAGAGCCATGGTGAGGGTGCTGTGTGAGGGAGGCACTGCTTGCAGGGCAGCGACTTGGCTGAGGCGTGTCCTTCACTTTTGTGGTCTCCTTTGCAGCCCCTCCCACCTTTACAGAAACACCCCCCCAGTACATCGAGGCCAAGGAGGGTGGTAGTATCACCATGACCTGCACAGCTTTTGGGAACCCCAAGCCCATCGTCACCTGGCTCAAGGAGGGAACGCTCCTCGGTGCTAGTGGGAAATACCAGGTAAGTGTGGTTCTAGGTAGGGCCCCTGCAGTCTCCTCCCCCTTGTCCCCAGGGAAGCCCCCGACTGCAGCCGACCCCTGATGCTACGTGCACAAGCACAGAGGAGGCTGGAAAACCATGGCCTGGCTCAGCTACAGGCATCTTTGTGTCACTGGTGGGAGGTGGGCAGGGGGACACCTGGCCTTTGTGTCCTCCAGATGTGTGTGTCCCTGCGTTCATCTCCTTGTTTCAGACCGCATCTCCCTGCTTGAAGGTAGCGGTGCTGGGTGTGAGCATGGGTGCTGAGCTCTGTTTGTTTTGGGCCCCTAGGTGAGTGACGGCAGCCTGACAGTGACATCGGTCAGTCGGGAGGACAGAGGTGCTTACACCTGTCGAGCGTACAGCATTCAAGGGGAGGCTATCCACACGACCCACCTGCTTGTCCAAGGTAGGAGCCACTTCCTCAACCTCTTTACCCCCGGGCTCCTGCAGGGATGTCCGGTCCGGCTGAGCTACGGAAGGCATTTTCCCAGGTCTCAGTGGGGCTGGTGGAGGTGCAGGCAACCATGAAGACCTGTGTGGGGCTCCTGCACTCCACCTGCGGTCCGGGTCAGAGCTGCCAAGTGGGCTGCTTGGGAGAGGGCTGGGTCTGCAGGCTGTGGCCGGGCACCACATGGCGTGGCAGAGGGGCCCCTGCTGCATGGGCTTCTGGTTTCTCCTTCTGTTCAGATAGCATCTCTACCACGTCTCCACCTCCCTGGGAGAGGAGACCTCCCTCGGGTCATCTATCCATTAGTGATGGCATCAATAAATAAAGATAGAAACTCAATCCAAGCCCCTGACATTTAAATAACCCTGGGCATTTGGCAGAGCTGGGGTCTGTACAGTCAGCATGGGGAGATGCCAGTGTGACCTGCCTGGAGCCCCAGAGTTCCACAAGATGGGCCAGAAACTGCACAGGACAGGGCAGCATCCAGGTTGAGGGGTTTCCACCCTGTGCTGAGCTCGGCCTCCTGCTCGGCCTCCCCAGCCCTGCGTCCTGGAGGAACTCGGGTTGGGGGGTTGGTGGCAGCTGCATGCTCCTCCTGCCTCTGAGTGCCGAGCAGCAGCCAGGGCCAGAGGTCCCTCAGGAGCCTGGATGGAAGCTGTTCCCTCTCAGGGGAGACTGGGCCACAGCTTTCCCCTCTGCACATCCAGCACCAGGACTGCTGGACTTTCACCCTCTGCTTACGCCTAGGCATCTGCACCCCCACCTGCCGTCTTTATTTCTGGCTGGGGAGCGGCACATAGCCCTGACTCCCTGAGACTGGATTATTCCTTGCTCCAGATTTGAAAAGAGCTGCCTTTCTCCCTGCTGCATCTCTGGCCCGGGCTCTGCTGGGAGAAGGCGGGCAGGAAGGGGGTGTGTGTGACCATCTGGGGGTGGTCTGGGGAGCCAGGTGCAGGGGCAGGGGTGGTGGACAGGATGCCGGAGCACACATAGCATCCGGAAGCGTCTGCATGACAGCTGCCCCCATCGCAGGGTTCAGGGCACCCCTTCCTGGGCACTGAGGGCTCCCAGGGGACCTGGGTGCTGCTGCGATCCCTGATCAGGTGAGGTGGGGTTTGTTCCCTGCTCTCCCCAGGGCCCCCTTTCATCGTCTCCCCTCCTGAGAACATCACCGTCAACATCTCCCAGGATGCTCTGCTCACCTGCCGGGCTGAGGCGTATCCGGGCAACCTCACCTACACCTGGTACTGGCAGGACGAGAACGTCTACTTTCAGAAGTGAGCACTGTGCTCTGACTTTCTCACTGTGGTCACTGCCCCGGCCCCCATGGTCAGGGCCCCTGAGAAGAAACTGCATGGCAGGCTGCCCACGGCTCCGGGAGCTGGGGGAGGCGGGCGATCTGGTCCGTGTGTCCCACATGCCAAGGCCAGGGTCTGCATGGAAGGGCCCTGGGAATGCCAGGGGCATGGGGTTTCCTTGCCACACCTGGGGCAGTGATGGTGACTGTGTGTCTGTGGCAAGACCTCTTTCTGCCCGCCCAACCCCCTGTCCCCGTGCCGCTTTGCAGCGACCTGAAGCTGAGGGTGCGCATCCTAATCGACGGGACCCTTATCATCTTCCGGGTGAAGCCGGAGGACTCGGGGAAGTACACCTGTGTGCCCAGCAACAGCCTGGGGCGCTCCCCCTCTGCCTCAGCGTACCTGACGGTGCAGTGTGAGTAGGGGTGCAGGGGGGCCTGGGTGGTGGGGCTCCCAGAAGGTTCTGGTGTCAGCCAGACTATAGGCTGGAGGGCAGCAAAGACTAAGCATCATTTGGGGGAATGTGGGTGGAGGAACAAATGAGGGAAGAAGGAGGATGGCTGGAGAGGAGGCCGAGGCCCTGGCCAGTCGGGGTGGACCAGCTCCTCCTTCGTTGGTCCGGTGTCACTGTTCAGCCAGTACGTCTCATCAGCCCATTGCAGGCTGCACTCAGGAAGACACCCTTCGAGCAGTTCCTTCTGGACAGTGGTCCTCGGGCTGAAAGCTGCCTGCACCTCTGTGCCCAGAACCCGCCGCTGTCTGGTGCCCTTTACTCAGGTGTCTGATGGAGCATAGCCCAGGTCTGTGCAGGGATTGGTTTCTCCCAGCCTCACTCCCTGCCTTTCACACCGCGTCTGTGTTGGGAGCGATGACATGCAGCCCCTGTGCCTGCTCCTTCTGGCTTCCGGGGCTTCTCTCCTTGGGTGGCTGGAGATCCAGACAAATGAGCTGCTCCTCACCCAGACGTTCGAGGGCTTCTGTGAAGCACCACTATTCGGCTTGCTGATCTTTAATACTGAGCAGCCAGTTGCTTTCCGGCCCCCTGGCAAGCTGAGCCCTGAGACAGAGAAGGATGAGTAATGAGGAGCAATGTCCTCCTTTTGATTTGTGGACAGCCCTGTCACTCAGGCAACAAAGGCTGGCGTTGTTGCTGCAGACGACAGACTCTCCATCATTTGCCGGCTGGTGTGGGCGGATTGCTCACACCCAGTGACAGGGAGTGGCAGGGGTGAGAAGTGGAACAGTCTGGAGACAAGACCGGAGTCAGTGAATGAGTTGAGGACAAATGGAGAACGGCTGGTGGCCCTGGAAGTGGAGCTGGTCTGCTGCTGCCCAGAGTTGGATGTGGACGTGTCCACCATTGGTCGCGGCGGTGGAGCATGCCAACCCTGCCGAGCCCCATTGGACCCCTAACCTCACAGTCTCCCGTTTCCTCTCTATGGAGCGCATTGCCTCTCTGCTTCAGCTGTCAACCACTTAAAGGGCTTTGGGTGTGCTGTATTCCTAGGCCCAAGCTTTAGAGAGCCGTGAGGCCCAGGACAGCAGATCTAGCTCCCCAGACCTGCAGCGGGAAAAAGCAAGTCAAGAAGTTATTCGTACGTGACTTAGGATGGGCCCAAGCTGTGCTGGGGTGGGAAGAACTGCAGGAAGGAGAGACCCGTCCAACACAAAGGTGCGCCCCATCTCTCCTCGCTGGACGCAGTCTGTGCCACCTGGCAAGGAGGTGGCCATGGTGGGGCAGGAGGAGGCAACAGGTGGCCTTTGGAAGACGAGTTGGCCGGGATGAAGGCCCCCTCCTCGAGGCCAGAGGCCATCTGTCTTTCTGGAGACATGTTTTGGTTTTCCCTGTCTCCCCGGTGCCAGCGTCACCACCCACTCCCCCTTGTCCTTTTTTACCTCCTTCCTGCCTTCAAAGAAAATCCAGGGGGTTGAGATTTACAGGTGGGTGAGACAAGGATTTTTATTTCTGCTAAAAAGCAGTGTTCAGAGTATTTCCCATTCATAAACGCTTTGAAAACCTTGGAGGGAAAAAAAAAAAACTCTACCATGCAAAAGTAGGAAGCTATGTCTAAATATATAACTCGGCCTGGTATTTATGTAATGCTGTTCTCTGAAGAGCTCAAAATGCTTAAAAGATACCAGCTCATTCATTCTCACTGCCTTCCTAGTTCTGGATCCTTCTCCTCTGTAGCCCTCAGGGGAAATAGGGGAGCACTGAGAGGAGGCGGCAGCCTGCACCACAAGAGGTGTGGGGTCCTTGTTGTTCCTCCTAGAGACAGCATCTTGCTCCGTCATCAAAGTTGGAGTGCGGTGGTGCCATCGCGGCTCACTGTCGCCTCAAACTCTTAGGCTCAAGTGAAACTCCTGCTTCAACTTCCAGAGTAGCTGGGACCACAAGTGTGTGCCACCATACCCAGAAAGTGAAAAAATCTTTTTCTGGTAGATTTGGAGTCTTGCTGCATTGCCCAGGCTGGTCTTAAACTCCTGGCCTTGTGCAGCCCTCCCACCCTGGCCTCCCAAAGTGTTGAGATTACAGGTGTGAGCCACTGCACCTGGCCTGATTCTGGATTTCAGCTGCACAATCAGATGGGGAAAAGTGATGCCAAGGAAGGCTGGATAACTAGCAGAACAGGAGGAAACATACCCCTCTTAAGCTTATGATGGTGTTCCTCCTGGCTCAGGATGTGGAGAGGGGAACTGCTTGTTGCTCGGGAGACTGGGATGAGGAGCGGTTGGGGAAGGGTGTGGGCAGATGTTGGCTTTGAGATTCGGGGTCTAGGAACTGAGGGAAATGGACATTGAGAGTCCTCGCCCAGTGGTAAGGTCCGTGGCGGAGGCATGGCAGGGGCGCTGTGGAGCAGGCTTGGATGTCTGGAGGCCTTTGAGTGCCTCCAGACATTCCGAGTGGAAGTTCTGAGCACCTGGGCTGGTGCATGGGCGGCCTTCAGCTTGGATTCTCACCCGGCTTCCCTGTGTCTGTCTGCTCTCCCACCTGCGCTTCCCGTGTGCAGACCCAGCCCGTGTCCTCAACATGCCCCCTGTAATTTACGTGCCCGTGGGGATCCATGGCTACATCCGCTGCCCCGTGGACGCAGAACCACCGGCCACCGTGGTCAAGTGGAACAAGGACGGCCGCCCCCTGCAGGTCGAGAAGGTGCTAGAGAGATGCATGTTGGAGGTCGGAGGGCTCCCCCTAGTACCATGATGCCACTTTTGGGCTCTGGATTTCTGCCAGGACTCCTGGCCCCTTCCAAAAGCCCTGGGAAAACAGCTGCTTCCATAGGCTGGAGCTGCTGTGTCATCCCATGTGCTGTCTGGCCCAGCCGGGACCCAGCCTGGGAAGAGCTGGCATGGAATGCGGAGTCTCTGACCAGTGTTCCCCGCTCTGTCGTCTGTGTCTGGCAGAAGCTGGGTTGGACCCTGATGGAGGATGGCTCCATTCGAATTGAGGAGGCCACAGAGGAGGCTCTTGGCACTTATACCTGTGTGCCTTACAACACCCTGGGGACCATGGGCCAGTCTGCCCCTGCGAGGCTTGTCCTGAAGGTGAGGTCCCGGTGCTGTGATGGCCTCCATGAGCTGAGCACCTGGATCCCTGGTCTCATGAGGGTGCCTGTGCGTTCCTCCCCAGGACCCCCCATATTTCACGGTGCTACCAGGCTGGGAGTACAGGCAGGAGGCCGGCCGGGAGCTGCTCATCCCCTGCGCAGCCTCGGGGGACCCTTTTCCTATCATCACGTGGAGAAAGGTACCTGGGCCCTGGAGCTCCTGGGGCCTTGGGGAGGTGTGAGAACCCAGCAAGCAGCTCTGTTCTGGACCTGCCCTGACCACAGTGAGCTGACCCTGAGGAGCAGCAGGCACTCAGGAGGAGGGGCAGCATGGGCGGGGGGCGGGGCTCAGGCCCATCCTCCCCACCTGCTTCGGGCTTCTCATCCCTATTTCTATTCCCACCCTCTTCCCTGCCCCTTGTTTGGCCAAGGTAGGGAAGCCCAGCAGAAGCAAGCACAGTGCCCTGCCCAGTGGGAGCCTGCAGTTCCGCGCCCTGAGTAAGGAGGACCACGGGGAGTGGGAATGTGTCGCCACCAACGTGGTCACGAGCATCACTGCCAGCACCCACCTCACTGTCATCGGTACGTGGCTGGCAGGCTGGGCCGGGTGGTGGGGCCAGAGCAGGCTGGCTGGGAGTGGGGTGCTGGATGCTGGGGGGGTCCTTCCTAAGTCCAGCCCTGAACCCCGAGTCCAGCACATGCAGCCCTGGCCTGTGGGCTCTGTCAGGGAAGGTCAGTGTGGCTCCTGTCCTCAGGGAGGTCTTTTGGGGACAGGCCTAATGTACACAGCAGTCCAACTGAGAGAAAGGTGTCTGTGTGGCTGGCAGGGACTGTGGAGCCTTCGAGTTTAAGGGCCTGGGGGAAGGGCAGGAATATGGAATGAGGGAGACGGGGGCCGTGCAGCATCTTGGATGAGGGCACAGAGCTGACAGCTGCAGGCCAGGCCTGGTGTGCCGAGGCGGGCAGGAGGAGGTTACTGGTATTCTGTGTCCAGGCATTCCCGTTTCCAGTTGCCCAAGGTGTGTGTCCCAGGGCCTTTGCCTGTCCCCTCAGCCTGTCCTTCTGGGTTCCGACGGCTATAATCGTGGTCACAGCCGACACTTTTTGAGCCTTTGCCACCAGTTTTAGGTTCTGTTCCAAGTGGTCTGCACAGCTTGTCCTGCACAGCTCGGGAGGTGCTAGCTGGGGTTTCCCTGGTGTATGTTCCTTCAAGCAGAGGTTAGTGTGGCCCGAACGCTTTCTCCGGCGTTATATCATTAAGAAGTGGTGGGTCCGGGATTTGAAGCCAGGATGAGGCTCCTGACTGCTGTGCTGTACTGGCCACACGCTGGCATTGGGGTGGAATGGAGCTGTCTCATGAGACCAGAGAACCTTACAGGAGGGGATTCTGTGGCCACGCCTACACCTTAGGAGGGAGTGTTTCTGTGCTCACCAGAGCAGCACAGGATTTGGGCCAGGACGAGGAGGGCTCTGGTTTCCCTTGGACCCGTTCCTGTTGCTGTGTGATCTCCTAGTTGGACTAGACCGCACAGTGGGACAGGTTTCCTGCTCCAACCCCACTAACCAGTAGGGTCAGGGGAGTCGGCGCCTGACCGCTTCCCCTCGCCCCCATCCCTTCACTTGCAGTATTGTGCTCTGCTACCACGTGCTTCAGCCTCTCGGGTTCCCCACAGTGAGACGGTGGGTGCCCAGCCACGTGGCTGAGTTCTTTTCAGTCTGAGAGGTCTCCACTTGATCTCCAGGCACCAGCCCCCATGCCCCAGGCAGTGTCCGGGTCCAGGTCTCCATGACAACTGCCAACGTGTCCTGGGAACCAGGCTATGATGGAGGCTACGAGCAGACATTCTCAGTTTGGTACGGACCTCTGTGAGTCACCCCGGCATGCTTTGCTCTCTGCTTCTCCCCTCCCCCATCTGCCTGCAGGCCACCCTGGGTGGGGGGAGGTAGGAGAAGGCTGTAGTTCCTGGCCCGCCAGCCCTACACACAGTGAGGTGGGTTGAGACAGTGACGAGGTCCTTGTGGGTGACGGGAGGGGTCTGAAGGGATTCTGGGCACGGCCGTGTCCCTGTGGCCTGAGTGGTCTGGGCTTCTCTGCGCCCTCTCCCTGCTGATCTGCTGCTGTGTTCTGCGCCCTGCTTCATCCTCTGGATTCCTCTGGAGTCTGGAAGAGACTCCTCCTCTTCAAGGACTTTGTGAAATTGCCCAACCTGAAGTGTAGAGTCTAGTTTTTAGAACTTAAATTTTTTTTTTGTATTTTTGTATTTGTAATTTTTGTAGGTACATAGTACATTTATATATAGGTATGGGGTACATGAGCTATTTTGATATAGGCATGTGATGCGTAATAGTTGCATTGGGGTAAAGGGGTATCAGCCCTCAAACATTGGTCTTTGTCTTACAACAATCCAGTTTTACTCATAGTGATTTAAGAATGTATGATACATTATTGTTGATTGTAATCCCCCGTTGTGCCGGCAAATACCAGGTCTTACTTGTTCTTTCCCACTGTGTTTTTATGTGTTCACCCTCCCCGCCTCCTGTAGTCTAGTTTTTATTCTGTCTCTTCCCCAGTGGCCACAGAGACTGGTGTGGAGAGGTGATGCTCACTTCCCAGCCCTGGGGTCAGCCCCCGAATTCTCTCTCCAGGATCATGTATTTCTCCATTGTTTTCATTCCTGTGTTGTCAGTTTAGCCAGATGCAGTGATTTGAAATCTTTGCATAAACCTTACAGTAGATAGCGCTCTCAAAAATGTGCCAAGTGGGGCCCAGGAAGGGAGGAGATGGAAGCCTAGCTGACTCCTCCCATTCCCCCCCACCCAGGGCTGCTCCTCCCCACACTCCTGCCCTGAGCCAGGAACAGCAGCCACCTGCCCTGCCCCAGGGGTGACAACCTTGAGCCAGGAGGGCGAGCCCCTCAGTGCCTTTTTTAGGCCTGTCTCACCTGCACATGTCTCTCCAGCCAGGCTCAACTCGAGCCTGAGGAGGAAGAAAAGGCAGTCTCCCGGGGCAGCTCAGGAGGTTCGGGGAGACCCCTTAATCTGCTTCTCAGCAGCGAGGGGAGTTGAGAGGGGAACCTGCCCTGTCTCCCGTCATGGTGGTTCAGTGGCTGCTTCCCAGGTGGAGTGTCCTGGGGTCTTGATTCTGGACTGGAGAACTGTGCCTAGATGAGGGGAGTTGCAGCAGCTCGCCTCCCATGCCCTTACTTTGTTCCTCCCGCAGCAGCGTGGGGGCCCTAACCAGCCTGCCCAGTAGCCGCTGGGAGACTGGCGCTGCTCAGTGCCTTGGTGGCCAGGGAGGGAGGTCTGGCATGGCCAGGCTGTCTTTGGAGATGCCTGGGTGGGAGGTCTGGGCATATAGTGGGGGCTTGGACATAGATTGGGGCTCCCCTGCTGCTCGTGGCGCTGCTCCACGCTGCTGCTCATCTGCACTGCTTTTCCACATCTGGCTCGCTGCTTTGTTGCCTGGGGCGGGGAAGGGCGGGGCCAAGGTTGGGAAGGTCTCCTTTCCTTCTGCCTGCCTCTAACTCCGTGTACTGACTCCGACGTTTGGCACCGGCTTCGTTCTGTTCTGCTTTCCCGCTGCCTCAGCTCACCCTCCTGGGCGTGCATGGTAGTGAGCGGGGAGCCCTGGGCACCCACCAGGCTACAGCTCAGGGCTGCCGGAGCAGGCCTGTCCCACAGGACCATGTCTCCTCCCTGTGGTGACATGGCGACACTGCATCCATAGCCTGCTGGCTTTGCTGGGAGTTGGGGGCCTGTGGAACAAGGGAAAACCCTCGGCCCTGTCTTCCTGCTCTCCATGCACAGTGTGACCTTCGAGATTGTGACTTCCAACCCTTATGGCCTTAGGGATCCTGCCCCCCACCCCGTGGGGAAACCCCTGGTCATTATGGTCTTATAACTTGGGCATCTCAGATGACTCAAGTCTGATACATTACTGTTGATTGTAATCCCCTGTTGTGCTGGTAATTGGATGAATGAGCCCTGTGGGGGACCCGAGGCCTTACTTTGGCTGTCCCTGGGGGTGTGTACAGCCAGATCCCCTGGGCTCCTTCCCTCGTCCCACCACTGTTGAGCTGCTCGTCCACACACCCCAGTGTCCTTACTCTCCCAAGGCAGAGCTCGCTCTTAGGGTTGTGACCAGGGTGGGATTCTCCCGCAATGCAGCTGGTAATTAACTTGACCAGTGTCCTGAGCATGACTTGTACCTTAAGGCCTCTTCGATAGAGAAGGTGCCAGCTGTGGTTGGTGACCCGGCATCAGGAGGATTGGCACAGCCAAAGCTGGGCAGGTCATCCACCCTGGGCCATGCCCTCTTCTTGCCCTTGAACCTGGGAACGGCAGGCCCACCAGTGCCTTCTCCCTGAGCACCCTGCATGCACCCTCTTCTCTCCAGCGTAACCCACCCCACCCCTCGTCCCCTATCCTCTCTCTCTCTTTTGGCCAGGATGAAGCGGGCACAGTTTGGGCCCCATGACTGGCTGTCCTTACCAGTGCCGCCAGGACCCAGCTGGCTGCTAGTGGACACTCTGGAGCCTGAGACAGCGTACCAGTTCAGTGTCCTGGCCCAGAACAAGCTGGGAACCAGCGCCTTCAGTGAGGTGGTCACTGTGAGCACTTTAGGTAAGGGCCTGGGGTGGGATGTTGGGAGTGGGGGTCATAGAGGTGGTGGGGGCGGTGGCCCAGGCAGCCAGCAGTTGGTCTCCTGTGTGCCGGGCACCTTGTGGAGTGCTCCACAGAGCTGTGCCGTCCGATCTCCCCGTGAGGATTTGTCGTGGCCTCTTTGGTTTGCTGGTCCCACATCAGAGCACTGTTGGCCGAGTTCCTGTTGCTTTTTTGGTTGGAAGAAAGACACTTAGAATTTTCTCTTTCCTTGTGAGGCCATGTTTGCCACTTCTGTGGCTTTCAGGGGAGATTGGGCATTCTCCCTCCTTGGCATCGCCTGCTAGCTCTGTCCTTTGACCCCAGCCCCATTGGGTGGTAGGCATGCGGCTGCCTCCCACCAGGGAATCTTCTAGGCCATGGCCGCTCCACCTTCCTGGAGGCCGCCTCATACTCCTCCCCGCCTGGCCACAGTTGTGTTTGCTCTGCTCTGGAGCCAGAGAAAGGGCCGCTGTCAACAGGCTTTTCCCAGGTGGTGTGGGTGGCGCGGCTCCAGCCCTGTTTCCAGAATCCACTCCTGAGCTGCTGCCAAGGTGGGCAGTGGGCTGGGATGCTCATCCCCAGTCCTTGGCACCTCTGTGGGGCCTTGTATTGACCCCCAAACTCTGGCCAAGAAGGGAATGGGGAGAGCGACTGCTGTGCTTTGAGAAAGAAGATATTCCTAGCTCCCTGGAAGAGCGCAGGAGATGCTTTGATGACATCTAATTATTCCTCCTTCCTTGCAGCTCCCATTTTTCTTCCCTTTTGTGGTACATGATTCTCTCATTATATTCTTTAGAAGTACTCTGAAGACAGAACCCTGAAGTCCTGGGCCACTGGGCCCAGACACCACTTCCCTCTGGGCCCTGATGTGCGTGCACAGCTGCGTGGGAGTGCGATGGCCACTCTGGGTCTTGCTGATGTGCTGTGGTTCTTCTCCCTCCCTTGCTGCAGCATTCCCTATTACAACTCCAGAACCCCTGGTGCTGGTCACCCCACCGAGGTGCCTCATAGCCAATCGGACTCAGCAGGGTGTGCTCCTGTCCTGGCTTCCGCCTGCCAACCACAGTTTTCCCATTGACCGCTACGTCATGGAGTTCCGCGTTGGGGAGCACTGGGAGATGCTGGATGACGCCATCCCGGGCACTGATGGAGAGTTCTTTGCCAAGGATCTGTCACAGGTGAGGGCTTTGCTCTTCCTTGGTGCTGCTTCCCAAATCCTGGAAGTGACAAGACTCCAGAGCCACCGGAAGCTTTGAGTGACCAACTTTGGCTGTGTGAGGCCACCCACATACTGTACCTCCTTACCACCGGTCCTGGATTCTCCCAGATTCACTACCAAGGCCTGGACTCAGACCATGGCTGCTGAGGTTTCACAGGCTTTGGGCCAGCTCCGGGACAGCAGGGACCTGTGTCCTGTTGAGGGTCCCAGCACTGACACAAGCTGGGCAGGGCAGGCTGTGAGGCCAGCAAGCGTCATCAGAGCACTGACTCCAGCCCCTTGCAGAGCTTCACCTGGGGTGGGCAGAGAAGTTCCTGGAAGAATTCTCTTCTAGGTTTCTCCAGGGAAGGACCCCTCCTCCAATAATTTAGAGTCCCTGGAAGAAAGTGCATTATCTGTTTTTCCAATAGCCCTGTTAATCTTCCATATCTAGCTGGGGAGAGGAAGCAGCTGGTTTCGTAAGACACAGACAATCTCATCTGTCCTTCTGTCTTCCTTCCTGGACCCTCGTTTATTAACAGTGGTTGCTAGAGTCAGCTCACAGTGGCCCTGGAGAGCCTACTGCACATCTCTTCCCCACGCTTTTGATAACCTCACGTTCGTTTCTTGAAGTCAGCTGTCGTGACGGTGTTTGCACCACAGCAGTTGGCTAGTGCGGTCATCACTTAGCAGATACTTAGCAGTCCTCCTGGGCTTTGGGTGCCCTGCCCTTTGCAAGGCTCTGTGCAGGAGGAGTGTTTGTGGGGGCAGTGGTCATCTCAGGCCCCTCGGCTGACTGGGTGTTGTCCCTGGGGCTGTAGGACACATGGTACGAGTTCCGGGTTCTGGCCGTCATGCAGGATTTGATCAGCGAGCCCAGCAACATCGCCGGCGTCTCCAGCACAGGTATTTTGGGTTGAGGGTGAGCTGCATGGAAGTTGTTTTGTGAAATAGCTACTCCAGGAGGAGAGGCTGGATTGGAAACTAAGGAGGTGTGTCGTTGCAACTGTGCGATTTGTAGCCTTTCTTAAGCCCACCAAACCCGTGTTTCCATGATGCGTGGTATTTCGTGACGCTTAGAAGCTGAGTTTCTGATGCTTCTATAAGATAGCCACAGGAAGAAATTCAACTAATCTTCTCATTCTGGTAGTCAGAAAGGACTTGACTGAAGTGCTCTTCGCTGTACATTTTCAGTTTCCTGGTGGGGGAGGGTCTGTGAATCAGAGGAAACACCAGGTCAGCCAGTGTTTATTGAATGCGTGTGATAGACTTCTTTATAATTATGTGGGTTTTATTTGGAAAATTATTGTTTGGTGTTGTTTTCCTCCTTTCCTTCCTCTCTCTAGATTTTTAAGGCTAAATAAAGCCAACTCCCTAGCATTTTCTCCATTTATCTTTCTTTTTCTTGGCCCTCGTCCCATTTCTACACATCTTCTCTCCAGCTATATAGTTCCTAAGACATAGCAGGGTCCCCCCCCCCCCAGTGAAGGGGTATCCTTGGTATGGGAAGAGGCTCTTGCCTATAAGCAAGTGATGGCATCATTTCCTTGGGCACCACTCACCCAGAGACCCTTGGGACCAGGTGGTGGTGACCTTGTCTGAGGAGCCCATGCAGCAGGACTTGTGTGGGGAGGTGCTGGTGTGGGCACACTGTGGGAGGGCGTGCTGGAGCAGCACGGCTGCAGGGGCCGGTGTGCAGTGGGATTTCTGCTTCATACATTCGGCATTAGGCACCAACGGGCTTTTAAAAAAAAACACAGTTGTGTCCTATAGGTAGAAGAACCCAGCGTCCTTCTTGACTTCTCTCTGGGGAGAAGACTCAGAGATGGAGGAACTGGGATGAGGGCTTGCAGCCAAGGCTGGAGCTGAAGAAGGGTGTTGTGTGGACTCACCCCAGACCGTTCTGTGCTTAGTAGCTCTATGCTGGCTCCTGGCAAGAAACGTGCCTCGTCAGACCATCCCACGCCAGGGAAGGAGGAGGCAGCAGCCTCAGCATTCCCTGTATTAAGTCCCCCATTTCCAAAGGCTGCTGCATTCATTTTCCACTCAGACAATCAGCATAATTTGGATTATTTTTATCCGTTATTACTATCGATGCAGCAATGAATTCTGGCCAAATACATTACAATCTATCGATTTTGCCTTTGCTGAACCTAAGCAGTGGCACTTACCGCTATAACTTTCTATAAGATGGTAGTCTGGGTTCTAGTCTTGGTTCTCTCATAACGAGCTCTGTAGCCTTGGGCAGGAAAGGAGGATGCTCAGCTCTTTGCTGTGAAACGAGAGATTTGGATCCATCTCTGCCATCCCTGCCAGCCCGAGGGTCCTTCTGTGCCTGAGATGCATGCCTGTGCTAGAAGGGGTTAAACACATTTGGATCTGAATTTTGTAGTAATAATCCCTCTTCCTGCTGTAGTATTTTATCCTCAAGTTGCCTTCACACCTGGCTCTCCTTTTGTAGAGACAGCATGGTGTGAGGCAGGAAATCCAGACTGGGAGCAGGCTGCTGCATTCTGGTTTGAGCACTGATGGTAATGTCCACATAAGCAGGCCTCTCCCACTCAGTGGATCAGAGCTCTTTCATTCAGAGGACGAGAGCACTGTGTGTGCTCTGTCTAGCTCAAGGGGTTAAATGAGAAGTGCGGATAACGTGCATGAAGGTACTTTGCAGAAGGTAACACCCTAGCTAAGTATAGATTACTCTTGAAGTCATTATCCCCACGGGTGTTTCCTTCTTTACACACTCCGTAGAGACTGACTTCTGTAGACTCTCTTCTCTTCTTCCTGAGCCATCCAAACCTCTTCAGTGCTAGAGTTCAGCATGGAGCCTTAGCCTTGATACTATCTGTTCTACAAAGGCAGGGCAAAACGCTGGGGGACTGAAGGTCGGAGCAGGTGACGACCCGGGGAAGGATGGGCTCATGAATGCTCCCCACCCTCCCTGCAGACATCTTCCCGCAGCCGGACCTGACCGAGGAGGGGCTGGCGCGGCCTGTGCTGGCGGGAATCGTAGCTACCATCTGCTTCTTGGCAGCTGCCATCCTGTTCAGCACCCTGGCCGCCTGCTTTGTCAACAAGCAGCGCAAGCGTAAGCTCAAGCGCAAGAAAGGTGGGTGTCTGTCCCCTTCCCTCGCTCTCCTGGCCCGGTTTCAAATGCTCCCCATCAAGAGAGATGGACCATTTTTAGCATGGCCCCCCTTGGAAATAGGGACATTGAGATCTTGTGGGTGGAGCTGCCCGTGAGACTTGATTTGAGAGTGGGGTGAAGAAGCAGGGGTGGTGGGGAGAGGCTGCTGGGGCCCAAGCTAGCACGAAGGCAGGGGCCGAAAATGCCCACCGTGAGTAGCCCCTTCCCTGTGTGGCGGTGCTCTGGCCCCGTCAGCCCCTGCAGATGAGTGTGCTGCCTGGTTGCTGGCTTGGCCTCAGCAGCCTCTCCCCTTCTCTTTCCTTCCAGACCCTCCGCTCTCCATCACCCACTGCAGGAAGAGCCTGGAGTCTCCGTAAGTGTCTCTGATCCTGGGAGAACTGTGCTGTTCATGGCAGGGGGTGTGTGCGTAGACGGCTTGCTTTGCCCAGCCCCATCTCAGTGTCTCCAAGTCATTTCCTCCTGACTGGCCTGTGTGTTAATTGTAAGTTGTCCACAGTGGTAGAGGGAGTGGCAGTGTAGATGATCCAAATTAGCTGGTAATCAGTCTCTCTTCAGACTTGGAATGTATTTCTCTACTGTTTTCCCACCTAGCAGATTTGCCTCCTTAATATGTATTGCTTAAGTTGATATTAAAGTGAGCTTGCTTGTCTTGAACAGCTGGGAAATGAAGCTGGAGGTGTGCTTAGAGCACACCAGAGAAGGGGCAGGCCAGCACAAAAGTGGAGAGGGGGGTGTTCATTGGAAAGATGGATGACGGGGGGCCAGGCGCGGCGGCTCACACCTGTAATCCCGGCGCTTTGGGAGGCTGAGTCAGGAGGATTGCTTGAGGCCAGGAGTTCAAGACCAGCCTGGGCAACGTAGCAAGACCCCGTCTTTAAAAAAAAAAAAAAAGAAGGATGCTCATCCAGACAGTGGAGAGTTGGCCAAATCATTTCACACCACGATACAAAGCCAGTTTTCTTTAGCATGAGGATCCTGGGTGCTGGGTGGTTGCCAAGAGAGGGAAAGGAAGTCCTGGCCAGCAGACTCCCCCGCCTCATCCCCTCCCGGCTCTCGCTCCTCCCTGCAGCTTGTCCTCTGGCAAGGTGAGCCCCGAGAGCATCCGCACGCTCCGGGCGCCGTCAGAGTCCTCGGATGACCAGGGCCAGCCCGCAGCCAAGAGGATGCTGAGCCCCACCCGCGAGAAGGAGCTGTCGCTGTACAAGAAGACCAAGCGGGCCATTAGCAGCAAGAAATACAGTGTGGCCAAAGCAGAGGCTGAGGCGGAGGCGACCACACCCATTGAGCTCATCAGCCGGGGCCCTGATGGCCGCTTCGTGATGGACCCTGCCGAGATGGAGCCCTCGCTGAAGACCAGGCGCATCGAGGGCTTCCCTTTTGCCGAGGAGACAGACATGTACCCCGAGTTCCGCCAGTCGGACGAGGAGAACGAGGACCCCCTGGTGCCCACGTCTGTGGCCGCCCTGAAGTCCCAGCTCACACCTCTGTCATCCAGCCAGGAGTCTTACCTGCCACCACCAGCATACAGCCCTCGGTTCCAGCCCCGCGGGCTGGAGGGTCCCGGTGGCCTGGAAGGTCGGCTCCAGGCCACAGGCCAGGCCCGGCCCCCTGCCCCACGGCCCTTCCACCATGGCCAGTATTATGGGTACCTCAGCAGCAGCAGCCCTGGGGAGGTGGAGCCACCCCCATTCTACGTGCCAGAAGTGGGCAGCCCCCTCAGCTCCGCCATGTCGTCCCCACCCCTGCAAACCGAGGGGCCCTTTGGCCACCCCACCATCCCCGAGGAGAATGGAGAGAACGCATCTAACAGCACGCTGCCCTTGACTCAGACGCCTACAGGAGGGCGCTCCCCTGAGCCCTGGGGCCGGCCAGAATTCCCCTTTGGGGGACTGGAGACCCCAGCAATGATGTTCCCCCACCAGCTGCCGCCCTGTGATGTGCCCGAGAGTCTGCAGCCCAAGGCCGGCCTCACCCGAGGACTGCCCCCCACCTCCTTGCAGGTGCCCGCGGCCTACCCGGGCATCCTGTCTCTGGAGGCACCGAAGGCTTGGGCAGGCAAGTCGCCTGGCAGGGGCCCTGTCCCAGCGCCCCCCGCTGCCAAGTGGCAGGACAGACCTATGCAACCTCTGGTAAGCCAAGGGCAGCTGCGACATACAAGCCAAGGCATGGGCATACCCGTGCTGCCTTACCCCGAGCCGGCTGAGCCGGGGGCGCACGGCGGCCCCAGCACATTTGGCCTGGACACCCGGTGGTATGAGCCCCAGCCCCGGCCCCGGCCCAGCCCCCGGCAGGCCAGGCGCGCCGAGCCCAGTTTACATCAAGTGGTGCTACAGCCTTCCAGGCTCTCACCTCTGACCCAAAGCCCCCTCAGCTCCCGCACCGGCTCCCCTGAGCTCGCCGCCCGCGCCCGGCCTCGCCCAGGCCTCCTGCAGCAGGCAGAGATGTCAGAGATCACCCTGCAGCCGCCGGCTGCAGTCAGCTTCTCTCGCAAGTCCACGCCGTCCACGGGCTCCCCCTCCCAGAGCAGCCGCAGCGGGAGTCCCAGCTACCGTCCCGCCATGGGCTTCACCACACTGGCCACAGGCTACCCTTCCCCTCCACCCGGCCCCGCCCCTGCGGGGCCTGGGGACAGCTTGGACGTGTTTGGACAGACGCCTTCCCCTCGAAGGATGGGGGAGGAATTGCTCCGACCAGAGCCCCCACCTCCCACGTTACCTACTTCAGGGTGAGTGCGCCGCCTCTTCTGCCACCCACACCTGGTCAACTTCCTTCCCCACCCGCCTCGCCCTGCCCTCCACCCCGTCCATCCGCCCGGCGACAGGGCTTGTGTGGACATGCTGCACCAGCATCCCTCGGGAGAGGAGTTCTGGCCGCCGCGGCACTGGCAGGGTGCAGTCGCTGGGGTGGAGCGGGCTCACCTGCTCAGGTGTCCTGCCGGGAGCATGAGGCATCTTCTCCAGCAAGCCCTGAGCTCTCAGCGGGCCCACCACCTACCGGGGAGCAGCGGATCACAGCGAGTGGCCTTGTAAGGGTGGCCCCAGTCCCTCTTGGATTGATGGCTCTTCGTGTCCCTGTGGTCCTGGCATCGGGCAGTGGCCTTGGGGGTTGCCAACACACACCTCGTGTCTAGCCTCCTTTTCTTCCCTGGCCCCTCCTCCTTGCTAAGCAGGACCCCAAAGCCTGACTTCTCCGGACCACCAGGCCAGGGGCCTCCTGTTCCCAAACTCCTGACCCTTAGCAGCCCTAGTGAGCGCCGGACTCCAGCCCCCTCCTCAGCTTCTCCTGGAGGCCCAGAGAAAAGTGTCAGGCCTTGTGACCGCGTGCAGGACACGTCCCCCATCCCCACCCGTATACCTCACAGGAAGCTGCAGAGAGACAGACAGACAAGCTCCCGTGATCAGCCGGCCTGAGAGCACTCTCTAAACTGTAGCAGCTGGTATTCCAGGTACCAGAGCCTGGACGCCTGTCTGTGCCTCTTCTTCTCTCATCCTTCTCCCCTACCCTCCCTTCCTCCTTCCCCTGCCCGTCCTTCCTTCAGTCTTTCTTTCTGCCTATCTTCCTTCCTCTCCATCGTCTTTGGGTTGACCCGACTTGCTCAGAAGAGCCGGCCACGCCTCTGTAGTGCCCCTGGATACCCCGTTCCCCGCCCTCTTCTCTCTCTTTCTCTCTCTGGCTCCGTCCTTTGGTCTCTCTTCTTGATGTAGCCGCCTGTGGAGGGAGCAGAGAGTTCCAGAGGAGGCTGGCCTGGTGGTAGGCAGGATGGGAGGTGGTCGAGGAGGAGGGAGCCCAGCGCCCTCCCCCTGCCCCGTCCCCCACCCTCCCTGGTACCTGGAAGTACAAGGTCACCTCCCACCCCAGCCCCATGGTGGGCTGCTCCGGGGCTGGTGAAGGGGTGCGGGGCTTAGGGCGCAGGGAGGTGGAGGAGCCGCAGCCGCCGCCTCTGTGTGCGCGGGAGGTGCCGCGGCAGCCCTGTCTCTGTGCTTTGTGCGCGCTCAGCTCATCTGCTTCCTTCCATCGTGTCTGGGTCTCCGTCTCTCTCCTCCTCCCTCCCCCATGCTCCGGCCTCGCCTGTCCGGTGCCCGCTGTGCCCCCCCCTGCTTCCCTCTGGGTGTGCGTGGGCGGTGCCCCCCGGCCGGTGTTGATAACTGCTTTGTTTCTGATTGATCTCAGCTATCTGGGCAGTGTTGTCGAGACAAGCCTCTCCTCAGCTCAATAGGTAAGGGAGCTCCTCGGCTGGGCGGGCGGGGGCGGGCAGGCGGACGGGGCTTCGGCCGGGCCATTGCTTCCTGGACAGGGGATCCAAACCATGTCCCCTCACCGCCCCGTGGGGTGGCCGCTGCCGCTCCTCGATCCCCACGGCTTCTGGGTTCCCCACATCGAGCCATGCTCGGCACCGCCTAGCTGCAGCTTCTGCCCCCCACCCCATTCCCGGCCTCTCTAGAGCCCCCTGCGGCTCTCCTCAGTCCGACGCCATGCCAGCCTGCTGCCAGTACACCCAGGGCCTCCCACAGAAGCCCTGGGGCCCTGCATGCACCCCAAAGGAGCCCAGAATGCCCGAGATCTGCTTTGCATCTCTGCACCGTTGGGGACCTCTCTGTGGCCCCTCTGGTATCCAGGGAGAGCCCCCCACCCCCATTTTCCCAGCAGCTCCAGGCATAGCATCTCTTCCCCTGGGGCAGCTGGCCCCTCACCAGCTCCTTGGGATCTTCGTGGTATGTTGGAGGAGCACAAGGTTGGGGGTGAACCCCACTTCTTACCTGCCAGTGGGGTCCTCCAGGGTCAGGTCCCTGCAGTCCTGCAGGGCTTTGTAGGGAAATGCGCTCCCCTGTGCTCCTTGCCTTCTGCAGCCCAACCTTGGTAGTCACAGGACTGAAATGTGACCTCGTGCTTGGGTCCATGTTGCTTTCAAGATCCCTGTTATAACCTTGCCAACAACCTCCCTCGGTCGCACTGTAGGGAAAGGGCCTTAGGAGGACCTCCCCAAAGGGAGGCTTCCTCTGGGCAGACAGGCATTGAGCTGGCAAGAAGTAAAACCCCCAGGGACCAGCACTGTGTCCCTCCCTCTGCCCCTGAAGTTGACCTCTCCTTGAGTGTCCTTCCAGGTGGAAGCCAAAGGAATGTGGGCATTCAGGGAGACTTTCAGTCCCTCATAGAGGCTCAGGGCCACCTGAAGCTCGCTCCTTCTCATAGTAGCCTAACAAGGCACTGCCTATCACCGTGGACCCCCCAGCCTGCGCCTGGGCACACGCAGTCAGGCATCAGGCACCTGCATGGGAGATGGCGAGCCTCCAGTCCGGTGGTTCTGGCTTCCCAGGCGAGAAGGAGACACATGCCTTCCCCACCTAGAGATGTCAAGGGAGGCTGATTTTCCTAACCAGGGATGTAATTCTCATTTAGTCCTAAGAGTGGCCTCTAGAAAGAGGACTGCCCTGACATTTTTTTATCGTCTGCAGCTGTAAAATTGTCAGCAGCCCATAGGCCCTGGAATTGCGGGCGAGGCTGTCTGGCACAGGGTGAGTGTGAGGGCTGTCAGGTAGTGTTTATGAGCTCACCTGCTCTGGGGCCCTCCTGCGGCCAGAGACCCACTGGTCCTCCACCTCCCCCGTCTCCCTCCATGTCCCAGCTGTGACTCCTCCACAGCCCCCGGAGGTGTGCGAGCCCTAGACCAGCTGTCACCCCAGCTCCTGGAAATTTCTAGACTCCACTCCCATGTATTACTTCCTTGCCCCTTCACTCAACTCCATTGACCCTCTCCTTTCCCAGTGTCCCCACTGTGCCAGATCCAAGAGAAGCCCGCTCTCCTTTCACTGCTGTGGCAAACCCAGAAACCAGGGGCAGCGATGAGGGACCATCGTTTCTCTCCCGGGCCTGGCCAGCATCCCCAGCCTAGGAGAAGGAGACCCTCCCCATCCTGAGTCAGCCCCTCGGTGCTGGGCTCTCCTGCCTGCTGGGAGCCTCCCCGGTACGGCTGCTGGGCCCTGGGGAGACGCAGGCTCTGTTCAGATGCTGTCTCCATGCTGCACCTTTGCATGTGTGCCCTCTCGGTCTTGCTTGGAGAAGTTGTGACAGCTCTTGTCCACGTGCGTTCTTGCTGTTTCTTTTCCTTTCAGTTCCTCTCCTGTTCCTTTGGGCCATACCTGTAGTTGTTTCCCTGCCTTTCCTCTTTTCTCTCTCCCTTTTTCCTCCTCTTCCCAACTCCCTTCTCAGCATGGGGAGTTGTATTGTGTGGACCTCTCCTTTCTGTGGACTGCGGGGAGGCCGAGCCAATTCTTAGCCCCCATCTGAGCCTAGTGATGCCCTGTCCTCACCTCTCCTTCCACTCCCTTTCCCATTCAGGCTGACTGTCAGCGCAGGGAGGCAGGTGGGTCTGGAGCATGGAGTGGCCCCTTTCCTGGGTCAGCCTTAGGAAGGGGCCCCTTTGGAAACAAGCCTCTGCCGGGTTCTGAGGCAGAGCACCGGTCTGAGCCTGGCCCTCCAGAAGGGTTCCGTCTTGTGGTCAGCGGGGTGGGTTCAGGCCTCCAGGCTCTTGCAGTGGGCCCACCCTTTCCCTGACTATGGCCCATGTGTGAGTGGCTTTCCCCTGTCTCCATCAGGGTATAATCAGGCAAGTGGTATTTGCTCTCAGGTGATTAGAAGAGGAGGAAAATGCCTGTCAAGCCACTGCTTCGGCCTGTTGGCCAGGGGACACCTGAACAGGGTCATGATGGTCAGTTCCTGGGCGCTGAGCTAAAGAAATGTGCAGGGCGTTTGACTTTCCCTGTCCTAAGGCTTGCCTCCACTTTGACCTGGGTGCATCTTTCCTCAGCTCTTCTGGGTAAGCTGAGAGCTAAGCAAGTAAGACCTCCTGGGCTACCTGGTCATGATTTGGGTTTTATATGGATTTTTTGAAAAGAGAAAGAGTATTGGCTGGGTGTGGTGGCTCATTCCTGTAATTCTAGCACTTTGGGAAACCAAGGAGGGCAGGTCTCTTGAGCCCAGGAGTTTGAGACCAGCCTGGGTAACAGTGAAGCCCTGTCTCTACTAAAAAATACAAAAAAAAAAAAAAAAAAAAAAAAAGCTGGGGATGGTGGCACATTCCTGTAGTCCCAGCTACTTGGGGGCTGAGGTGGGAAGATCATCTGAGCTGGGGTGGTCGAGGCAGCAGTGAGCTGAGATTGCACCACTCACTCCAGCCTGGGAAACAGAACCCCTGTCTAAAAAAAAAAAAAAAAAAAAAACAGAGAGAGAGAGAAGTAAGTTCCAGGCAATTGTTGGTAGTTCTGAACTGCAAAAAACACCTGCGTGCTGATGCTTTGAGGCCCTCATCTTTCAGTAATCCCTGACTTCCTGGAAGAAGGGGCGTCCCAGGGTTCAAAGCATTCCTGCATGCCTTAGAACAGTGTAGGCTGACTGGGAAAAGAGCTGTGACCTCAGATCCTTGGAGAGCCCAGGACTGGCTTCTGGTGTCATGGGGTTATCTACAGATCAAACTTAGGTTTCCCTGACAGCTGAATTCCAGGGAGAGAATGGAGTTGCTTCACTCAAGCTTCCTCTCTGAGACATTGATACCAAGAGCTCCGTGACTGAAGGGCCCCAGGTGGGGCTGGCATTGGCAGCAGACATGGTCACCCTTCCTAAAACAGGGAGGTGATTCCATTGCACAGTGCTTTACATGCTGTTGGTAAAGTCTGTTAGATCACGTTCTATGCGTCTTTTCTGTACCATGTGCCAAAAATAGACTCATTTTGCCTGCCCCGCTTCCTCCCTCTCGTTCTGCCAGACACTTGCTTTAGTTTTTTCCTCCTGCATTGGGCGAGGGTCTTGGTGTGTCCAGAGCCGCCTTCTGTCCTGTGGCCATGCTTGGGTGCTGAGCCCAGAGCTAAACAGGTGGACAGCAGGTGTCCTGGAAGGGCTGGAACTTGACTGTTTCTCAAAGGAAAATCGGCTGCTTCTGGTCACTGAATCATTAATGTTTGGGAATTTTTGCCTGAAGATATAACTTAAGCAGGCTCCTCTCCAGCCCTGGTCTGTCCTACTGGGGCTGTTCCACTGAAGCAGAGAACGTTAGTGCTAGCCTCAAGTACATTGCAAGGCAGATCTATTTCTCCAGTGTGGTGGGGACGCCATGCCTTTCTTCTTTGTAGCTGCTCTATCTGTGTTCATTGGGAAGACGTTGGAAGGGCAGTTGAGAGGTGAGCCTAATGTTGAGAGTCCCACGGTGACTGGGTTATTGGACAGGTTGTTTACCTCGCTAAACTTCAGTGTCTCCATCTGCAAAATGGGGGCATTGTAGTATTTACCTCTTAGGTTTGCTGTAGCGATTATTGTACAAGATTATTGTAGGCAATTATTGTACAGCACGTAGGACAGTGCCTGCCATGGTAAGTGGTAAATCAATGCTAGATGGTAAACATGACAACGCTGAGAAGATGTTGATTCTAACTATCATATCACCCCTGGAAGTTTCACCCAGCTTAAAGAATTCCTAACAGTTTTCAGGGCACCCTCTACCAGTTTCTCTCGTGCCCCAGCGGTCGCCCTGGATGACATTGGAGAGCACTGTTCTTGCTGTCCTGCGCCTCCCTGACCACACGCTGCTCACGCTGTGTGGTTCTTCTGAAGAGGCTGGCCAGGAGACGGAGATTGGCTGAACAGGTGGATTCACATTGACTTTCCTTCTAGGCAGCATGAAGAAGCCTCAGTCGAGGATGAGAAGGGGTGAAGATGTGCTGTCCGCACCGGGAAGGTGTGCTCCCTCCCGCCTGGGCACTGCCTCCTTTGCCTGTCTTCCCACTTCCTTCCCAGCTGCTGCTGCACTGTAGGATCTCTCTGGGTAGATGGGCATGTTGGGCCACTTCTTCACGAGAGGGCTGTGTGTGCACCTAAGGGACCCTGTGTGGCCTTTTTAGCTCTGCTGCCAGGGGATGTGGAAAGTCAACAGGTTGACCCTGACCTGAACTTTGAGGGAGCCTTTTGAAACTTTATGGACTAAAGGACTATGATGACATTCCCCAAGGAAGATGGAATCACTGCATTGCCAGTGAATGCAGGAAACCCCAGAGACCAGAGGTTTAAATGCAATTAGTCTGTAAGTCTCCTCTTCCCGCCTCGCTGCCAAGATATTTGATGTTGGGGAGAAGGGGGACCCTCTAACAATTTTGTTTTTAACCTCAGACCGCTTGCTGACCTTCGTGGACTTCATTTGCCCTCCCAGCATTGTCTGTCCTACCTCCTTTAATCAGGATTTTCCAAAACCTGATTGCAGTGGAGCTAGGGGTGGAGTTGTGGGGTCCAGGAGAAGAAGAGTGAGGCACGTCCATCCGCCATGGCCCCAGAGTGCCCCTGCTTCTCTAGTCACATGGTAATGCCAGCGCTGATGGGAAGACAGGGTGACCCATCTCTCTCTCTTTCCCCTTCATTCCTCAGGCTCCCAGCTGGGTTACTTTGAGAAGGAATGGTACTGAGAACATGTCTCCTAGGTTTTCTTCTTTTATGACTCTTTAAAGATTCTCTCCAGTACGCACCGAAGGTCACAGACTTCCCCTTCTCTCAGCTCTCTTGGCTCCCTTGCCTACCTGAGCTGCTCCCGGGCTGTGGCCAGACTGTGGACCCTGTCCTAACTGTGCAGTTGATCCACCAGGCAACTGACAATCAGGATGGAGGAAGAGAGGCCAGTACACATGGTCTTCTGTTCCAACAGAAGACCTCGTTTCTCTGCCGAATCTTAAAATACAGAGGTTCACCACGTGCTTGTTGCAGACGGCGAGGGCTCTGGGAGCCTGCCAGATTTGGTTGCTCTGCTGTCACCTCCTGCTACTCCCTCCTGTTCTCTTACATGGCTGAGGAGAGCTGAGCCTAGTCCGCAGGGTTGAGGAGACACTGCTCTGAGAGTGTTGGTGTGTGACAGGTGTTCGTTGCTGTGAGCTGCCGCTGTTCTGTGGGAATCTTGCGGCTGAGGAGAAGAAACTGGCAAGGCTGGGCTTTTTGCAGGCTGTCTCACTGGGGGTTGGGTTTCTCACTTAGCGCCCCCTTTTCTGGAGATGGAGGACGGTTCACTGGGAGGGGGGCTGCTTGTCCTCCTGCTCTAATTTGCCCTTTTACCTTCCGTTCAAAGGTCTTGATTGTGGTGATTTCTAGGAACTCCAGACGCTGAGTCTACTTGTGTCTCTGACACTGAATGCATCCCAGCTTGGGTTACATGAGAAGGGGCTTACTATTAAAGTCTCCCTCTCTCCCTTTGCTGGGGTCTTCTGGTTGCTCTGCAGGTGGGTTCCCATCTGAGGTGGGCCATTCCCCTGGAGCTTTCTGCTGGGTTTTCTTCTTTCCAGGAGCAATAGAAAGGCGAGTGTCATGGAGCCATCGTGGGCACCTCGGGCTCTGTAGGACTGGACTCTTTCCTTCTATGGGTCAGCTACTCGGCTTTCTTCCAGCCCCTCTTCCAAAGCCTCACACATCCAGGAGCTGACCTGTGCCTCTTCTGGTTATGCTTTCCAGAACACTTCCACCTGCACCCGGGAACGCTGCTGCACCTGAGAGGCTGGAGGCTCTGAAATACCAACGGATAAAGAAGCCCAAAAAGTCATCCAAGGGCTCTTCGAAGTCAAAGAAACGATCCGGTAAAATGATGGGCAGAGGCCCGCCCCACCCCCCAACCTCGCCTTGCCGTTGTCAGGGGGGTTATTGGGCTTAGGGTCCCAACTTGGGCTTTTTCTAGAATTGAATCCACAAGCGTCTCTTGTTCTTTATTTCCTTTTTAACACTGTTTTTCAAGCAATACACAAACATAATTTGCATATACAAAATGAGAGAGATAAGGGGAATATCTCTGATTGCCCTCCCAATTTGTTTGCTCTCACCTGGAGAACTGTCACTTTCAGGGTGTGTGTCTTCAGAACCTTTTCTGTGCCTATAGCTTCAGAAAAATGTGTCCTATTGTTTTAGCGTGTTTTCAAACAACACAAATAGTGCAGATACAGTTTTCCACTCTGCAGTTCACCCTGCACGTAACTCTGTCTCCTTACTTCCTTGCCCTCTACCATTTCAGGCCTTCTAGGGAACACAGGCATGATGTGACTCCACTTGGAGCTCAGGGTACATTGCAGGCTGGGCCCAGCCTCTGCAGGGTGGCTACACTCTTCTCAGTGAGATGGAGTGAAGCCTCCTTACCCCACAGAGAGGGTGTCTCTATCGAAGTATGTCCAATGTGTATCCAACAGGGATAGGTAGCTTCTGAGTGCAAGATGAATTTAGCCCTCTTTAAGAATAGAAAATTCCTTAATATTTGTTACAAACATCCTCTTTTCCTGAATGGTTTTAGGAGTGTTGTGGCAGGCTGTCAAGGGAGAATACTGAACACTTTCTTTGCATATCTTTGATAACTGTTGTACAGGAGCCATCTTTATAGACAGGACTATGGGAGAGTGTTATACAGAAACTGAAAGCCTCATGAATCTCTGGGAGACAGTGATAGCCTTTGGCTGGTGCTAGTATCCTTTCAGTTTATAGATGGAAGTATTGAGGTAGAGAAAGAGAAAATGACGTTTTTAGGGCTTGGGTTAGAAATTCGAACTCAAAGCTGCATTTTCAACCCATTTAAGCCCATTAACTCATTTATGACTCATCAACATATATTTTATATATAACTTATGTATTTCTTTATTGCAAAAAAAAAAAAAAGTCACATCAGAGGTCTGCCTTCTCACTTATTTTGATGGCAGTGGTCCTGTTACCAGGTCTATGTCGGCATCTCCCAAATGTCTGCCTTTAGCCCAGGTCCCTTCCCTGAGGTCATGGCTCATATTTCCAGTTGCCAGTTGGACATGCGCTTGGGTGTTTCATATGCCTTGAAGTCTAAAGTAGAGTTATTGGTCAGCCTCTCCAGGCCTGCTTCTCCTCAGCTGTTCCTCAGTTTAGTGACTAGCACTGGTACCTACTGGGGTGTGAGGCCCCTTCATCCCAGACTCTTCCTTGCCTTCACATCTTATGTCCAGTCCACTAGGTAAGGCCTGTTAGTTCAGCCTTTGCAACACATCCTGAATCTGGCCACTTTGTTGTCTCTGTTGCTAACTCTGTGTTCCGAGTCACTGTCTGTCCCGCCTTGACGACCGCAGTACCTTGCAGCTAGTGCTGCGGCCGCAGCTTTGTACCTTGCACCGCAGATTCCACACACAGCCACCAGAGTGAGCCGTAGGGCATGTACCAGCATCCTCTCTTTTAGTCATGAGGACACATGTGTAGGTGTGTGCACGAGCACGCACACACACGCTTCTTATTAAAACCTTCCAGAAGTTTCCCATCATAACCAGAACAGATTTCAAGCTCCTAGATGCCCTACCTGTCTTTCTTGCCTCACTCTTCTCCAAATGAGGTGACCTCCCTTCTGTATCGGGGACACGCCACATTTACCCTTAACTTGGGGCTTGCACACATACTGTTTCTTCTGGTGGGAATAATTTTCCTTCACATCTGTGGAAGGCTCATAAGACTTCTCTTAAGACTCAACTCAAATGTTAACCCTTTAAGGAGCAGGAGTAGTGCCTTAGTTGACCCTATTTTATCTTTGTAGTTTTTTCAGTAACTGCAAATTTTATTTCTGTATTTTAAAAATCTTGAAAGTTTGTCT